TCTTTTATACGTGCTGTCATCCCGTCATAAACTGATGAATAGGTTATAAAACGTACATAACCTGCAAACATTCATTCATAATTAATTTTTTCCTCTCGTTTAATCAACGTTTATTGCAAACAACGTCATCGCGCACGTAAAAATTTACTGCATTGCATAAATCGACGATGACGGTGACAAAATATCGCAAAAAAAATAATACTCTGCAAAAAAAACCTTATATTTACGTCCGATATCGTTAAATGTTGCACGCGCGTCGACATAAACACAATAATAAATTAATTATGATTTTATAAACTTCAGATTGTGAAATGTACAACGCTACAAGTTTTTTTCTCTAGATTTCTGAATAAACAAGTTTAGAAATTTTTCGTTTTACGCAAATTTCGCAATCCCCGACCGCCATTTTGAATTTTTAATAATTTTCATTGCGAAATATTTTTGGGTTTTAAATTTTTACACATACACTAAATCCAGATGCGTGTTTTATTCCTTGTTGCGATTTGAATTTAATCCAGTCTCTTGAATATCAACCTGACTTTCGATTTCGCTGCTCCGGTGATTACGCGGCGCGTTACTTTTGCTTTTCGTTTTCGCTTTGGCGCACAACACTATTCCACTATGGTTATGGCGCGCGGTGCGTGGCGCGGTGCCGCCGACTTGAAAAGTTCTTCCTCGCGATATTCGGTTCCGTTCCGAAGCGTCGGACTGGTGGAAACGCGACGACGACGAGGAGCTGACTGCGCGCCACGCCGAAGAGCGCCGCGCGCTCGGCCCGCTCGAGGAGGTCCCCCGGCGAGACGTCCAAGTTTTTTCGAGAGAGAGACCGGACCGGACTGGACACTGGACGCGCGCGGACTTTGCCTTCGTGGCGGCGAGGACACACAAATTATAACGCGGCTACTTCACTTCTAAATACATAATATTAACGATTCTGTGAATTTTTTTGTTTCTTCAAATTTTGATTCATTTCTGACGTATTTAGTGTTTATTTTTAGTTGTGGCGATTGTTGAGGATCTGATTTATATGTAGGTACAAACGGCGATTGTTTATCTTATATAGTTTGGAAGATAAAGAAGATAAGATGTTGAGAATCAAAACAAATTGAATATTGCGAGGTGAAATTGTAACGCGTTGGTTTTTTAAGGTTTAAACAAAAACTAAGAGTCGTAGAGAATTTTGCTTTGGTAGGATTAATTGCAATTAAATATCCTTTTTAATTATGTTTAAAAAATTATTTTATCATTTTTAGTTAAATAATTACAAGAGTTTAAAGTTAGTAGATAAAAACAACAATTTTTCAATTTTTTCAGCGGCATTTTTGTTAGGTTTTCTGATTTCTACAAAAACTAACAATTTTTACGTAATAACATCCTAATACTTTTTTATAAACATTAAATTGGACTATAAATAGAAACCAAGATGGCCGCTCTATCTTTATTAGTTTAAAAGTTATAAAACTTTAAACTTAATTAATCTAAAAATATCAAAACATTACATTTTCTTTAATAATAAAAAAACTAAAAACCTAACAAAATCTCTATTTACCCTACTTATTCCCCATTAAATTCCCTTTCTAATGATATATTAATCAATATCCTACCTTCTCTAATACATAAGTTATGACGTCGCAAAAATGTCGAATTTGTTTTGCATCAAACCGCGGCACGAAAAACGAAAATGCAAATAGAAAGAAAGTTGTGTAACCTCACACAGACGTCAAGGTTGTGTCCATTCGGTGTCTCGTAACGACTCTTTCCGATGGCCTGCCGATGGCTGTTGTTGCGCTTGTAATTATATCAGCAAATATTGCACTGCAAGACCGTCTTGGCGCGGCGCTGATTATGCGACGTGGTATTGCGCGGTCGCGGCCCGAATACGTGAACGCGGAAAAAAGCCCCCGAATAATCATCATCCGACACGAAATGTGTGTCACACATTAGCTTCATAAAAAGCCAGCCAACTTAATTACAACAAATGTAATCCATTTTTTTTTCGGCGGTTATCCAACCGCAAACTCACTGGCCAAGTGTTATTCAATCGTTCAAACGCTTGAAATATTTGACGGAAAGAAAGCGGCGTGTAAATAAAATCAAATAAAATTCGCGAATTGCTAAAATCAAAAGTCATCACGCAACCGACCAGCAACCAAGCAAATTAAAGATATATACGTGAATTTATTAAGGAAAAAAACTTCGGATATCAATGAATTTTGTTTCATTGACTTCAGACTTAATTTAAGCTTAACGAATTATTTCCAGAATAAACGCTTATGCAACCGAGTGATTTTTACTCTTGGCGTACATTTTGTAACACGGCCAGTATTTAATAACACTGGTCGAGATCAAAACTTGCAAGCAAGAGAAAGTTATCGCTTTGCATGGGAATTTCCACACTCAGATCGAAAATATGACTTAATTTTAAGCCATCTTACTTATAAACCCAATAGATGGCGCTCTAATGACATCTAATGTCATTTTAGGTATAACCTATAAGTTATGTCATCACAAAAATTTTCAAATTTATTTTGCGTTAGTTTTTTGCATTTTACACAAAAACTAAAAGTTGTATCAAATTTTCCTTTGGTAGGATTAATTATGCTTAAAAAACCTTCCGAATGACGTTTAAATAATTATCTTATCACATTTTGTAAAATAATTACAAGACTTTAAAGTTGTCATTCAAAAACACAATTTTTTATTGATTTTTATTAGTTTTTCTTTTTTTAAAGAAAATCCACAAATTTTACAAAATAACATCCTAATACTTTTTTATAGCCAATAACATTATCTATAAATAGAAACAAAGATGAAGTCTCTATCATTATTAGTTCTCGAGTTACAACTCAATTTCCAAAGAAAAACTCAAAACAAAATTTATTTTCAAACCAACTTACTTAAAACTCCGACAGATGGCGCCCTAACAACCAATATTATTTTACCTATTTGTAGGTTATGTACGTGTGCACTTACCTAATTTCATTTGCACACATTGCGTCGACGAAATTGATATTATATGATCGGCACAATTACACACACAAAACACATCATAAACTCAGCGTACTTGTGTCCGTACATAATGTGTGAATAGTCGTAATACATCGTAATATAATGTCGGTCAAAAGTGTTGTATAACACTCACTAGCATTTAATTTAATTATAATAACATCCAATCTATTGTACGAATTATTTCCAACTTCAGTTTGATTTTATTTTCATTTCTATGCACGCTAGACGCGAGTGTGAAGTAGCCTCAAGTAAATTGTGCCAAGGACAAACTCTTTCGATCAGTCCAACCAACGAGTCACAACTTAAAAGCAAGTAAAACAAAGTATTTCCATTAAATATTACAGCGATTCGTTGAAAAATCACACCAGATGGCGTTAATTGCAGTAATATAGGCAACTTACGTCACAGAACATCATAAAATAGCCGTGGTACATTATTTTCACAGTTTTATTGCTTTTGCTTTTTATCTTATTGATTATTTAATTATTATTTAATTAATGCGAGGCGTAATGATGGCCTGACGCAGGTTTTTTGTGTGTTTGTGTTTAATGTATGCAGATACACGTGTCGAAGCGTTTAGTTTTTGCTTTATTTGTAAATTAAGCAAATTGTGCAAATTGTGCAAAGGTGCGACTTGTTCCATGCCTTCGAAGATGAGTTTTTATTGATTTTACGATGGTGACAACGCGTTTTCTCGCTGATAAAAATAAAATGTACTGAAAAACATGTCTGCGCATCATAATGGCCGCCAGTAATTTATTTATGACGTTCATAACACTCACAAAAAATTATTCATCAAGAAATAAATAGAAAAACATTAAAAACAACAGTTTATGCCTTAAAAAATATATTTTTTAATATTTTCGAATAAATATTAAATAATTACGCTATTAAAACGCAGTCAGCATTGTCCAACACAATGAATCTATTAGTATGTGTTTCATTGACATATTTAAATCTAAAAATAAATGATAACCATGCTTAAATGGCTGAAAATGTTTATTACTCTCGCATATTAAATGCAACTTAACCTTCGCCTATAAATTAAGTCAAATTTTGATCAAAAACAGCGCAAAGTGTGCTTGATACTCAGCATTTTACGTTTAAGTTGTAATTTAAGCGGAATTTAATGTCGCGCTTGCGTTTACATCGCGTTTACATCATAAGTTTCGCGTCTGTTCGAGCAACATACCAAATAATATGTAAGAGCATTATAGGATGTGCCCGAGGGTGAGAGAAAGTTATTATACTCACATGCTAAGCACACAGCGCACGCGCAATGAAACACCGTCTGCACACGACAGTTTCTCGCACGCCGATCACCAGACTTAAGACTATTTCACTTTTTATTCAATTTTATAAGATTTATAAGATATATAAATAAATTTTTAAGTAAAAATTCGATTGTATTGAATTTTATAAATAGAAATAATTGTGTTTCCTGCTTACAGCTCTCTAAATTCATACAAGTGTACTCACAAATGTGATTATAAGTTACATAATGTTGAATGTAAATTGTAACCCACTTAAGTCTTACCTGACGCGCACAACAAGAAAAAGACGTGAAAATTCTCTCTTGTAGGTCAAATATTCGTAAATTCCAATGTGAAATGTGTTTATTTGGTTGCCTAGCCTACATACACCACCGAAATACCTCTAGGTTACATTCTACGCACTTCCATTGTTATTTTTGTACGCTGGGAAGTAGACTTACATGTTTTTTAAGTGTATTAACCTCAAAATTATATTTTTCACACTATTGAATTGTAATATATACAAAACACGATGAATAAATATAATTTAATAAGTAATTAACTAAAAACAACCTATTTGAGTGATGGATTACGTGAAATTTATATTTACAAAATGGCGTCTGGTGTAATATAAACTTAAGAAGTCTTTAAAGGTAGCCATATTGCAAAACGATTGCAAAAGTTACATAAATCACCAATAATTATAAATTCGCGTCGTCATTGCGTGCGTAAACTCACCGTATGGCATTACTACTCCAACTAAACATTTTCCGAATGCGTTCCTCCTTGGCCGAATCGAAAGACTCCAGTGTTCGGATACTATCACCCGAACGGACGCGTCCAGGCATATTTTGTTGATTACTCATATTGCGATGTGGAAAATACAATATTTGCACAAATGTCGCAGATTCAACTCAACACTCAAACAAAAATTTCCCGTGTTCTTAATAAACGCAAATATTTACGCGCACATAAAACACCGCAGATTTCCGTAAATCACTTGCACATGCGCACACAGATTTAACGTTGAAAAAAAGTGAATTTTCCGACGCGGAAAATTCGCGCAGGTGCAGCAACGACCTGCTCGCGTAACTGAAAGTCGCGAAGAGAATATTATTTGCGATAGAAAGTGGATACGAATGCAATTGCACTTTTCGAGCGCGATGTACATGTGTGTGTGATACACGCGATGTTTCTATTGGTTCATGAAATCTCCTTCTCCGGACAGATTAGCAACAACTGCAACAAGCGCGATGCAAAAGCAAGAGTAATAGACAAGATTACAACGCTTAGCTCTATACAAGGTGTTGTTTAGTAAGGGAATTATGTTCGTTTCTCTTTGCGCATTGCTTAATGCATCACCGACGTTTATAACTTGTGTAATTATTATAAATTATAATGCATGCAAGCCAGGAATGTCTGTCATTATTTTATAATAACTAATCATTTATGAGAAAATGCGAAAAGCATTTATTGTTGCCTATATTAACTTTTAAATATCAAAAATATAAAGTTATAAGGTTATATGTATATTTTAATGTGTATGTTGGGTTGCATATACTTTCCAAAGTGAATTCTTAGTAGTAATGTGTGTGAAAATGAAAAAAAGTATTTATGGTTGCCTATATTAACTGTCAAACACAATAAATGTGTATGTTGGGTTGCCTATATTTTCGAAAGTGAATCCGTAATAGAACCACACGCATGTGCACACAGCGCGACACAAAACTTTTGCTTTTACTGCAGAAATTTATTGCAATCACACGCGTGTTTCAGCTCTTTGCGTTCCCGTTCGCCATTACGCAATCGGCACATTGCCATTCAAATTGATCAATTTACAATTGAAACTGTGCGCTGTGTCACCACGCACACACATAACATACACGTTAATTGCATTTTATTGTTTAAACTTTAGCGCATAAAACGTATTTAAGTAGATTTCTGATGACCTTGGACTTTGCACTTCGATCCCCTTTACTTTCCGCAATATTCACGCCTGTTATAATTAAATTAACTTGTTTCGCGTTCGCATTGCATTTATTTGCAATTATTTGCTATTTCAACCGGAAATCAACACGTGTGTTACCAAGATGACTGCCGTACAGCTAATGTACTAATGATTCACTGTTCAATGTTCGTGACTTCTTAAGTATTAATTTATTCGACGATGGCATCGATGGTATCAATGATTTAAGCCCGAATATTACTCTGACAATCGATAAATTAATCACAAATTTTGTTTTTAGGTGTTTTTAGAGGCAGAAAGAGTTAATATTTCAGCAGGTTCATGACCTCAGACTAATTTTGTAATATTTAACTGGTTTTTAATTATTTAACGTGGTTTGCGTTGGAATAATTGACATTGAAGACATGAATATTACATTATCGCATTATTAGCATAGATTACGATCGGTAATACTAATAAATGTCGATGGATTTTGTAATTAACTTCATGTTAAGAAGTCATTTAGGTTAAATTAGTATTTAAATTATATTAATGGTGAAATTAGTGTTTAATTGAGGTTAGAAAGGGTTGAAATCCTTTTGTGTGACTTTGGTTGCATACATACAACAATAAATTATACCAAAAGTTATAAAACGGGAAATTGTTTGTAAACTTACAGTTTAACAGTCATCGTACTCTTTAGATTCTTGATGTTTGACGTCACTAAACTTTTTTTTAAATGCCACTGATATTAAACATTAATTAGTAATTATAAGCAGAATGAATGTTATAACATAAGGATCAAAAATTATTATACGGAAGTGTTACGTTCGCGTTCAGCGCTAACAACATACTGTGCTAATTATACAAATTTTAAAAAATTGCTTAAAAAACTTACATATCAGACGGTTATATATAGTTTTTTTTTGCATGATTATCAAAATTGTGTTTTTATGAATAAATATTAGTTTTTAACGTAATTATTTCAAATATTTAGAGGTTACAAAACATTTCTTAACCGGCAAACGGAATTTAATCATTAAATAGTGTTTTTTGTCGCCGCCACTGGTCTGTGGAGTACCTAACCTCAATTCTAAGCCTCAAAAAAGCAGAATTTGTTTTAAAATATCTATTTTTTGCTAAAAATCGCCAAATGTATAAAAATACGATATTTTCAATGAAAATTTGCTTTAAATTAAATTATTTCAAATAATTAGAGGTTATGATACTTAAAAATTTATTTTTAGTCCCCGCCCCTGGTCTATACATCACTAAACCTCAAAATTTCTAAAAATTCAAACATTTCTACGCATATTCCACCTGTTTATGCTTTCATAATGTTAAACTGACGTACCCACACATAAATATTTAACACCCCGATGATTCACGCCTCGAAAAACAAAAAGTTATACAATTCTATTTCAGCACATCCCGTTATACCGTAGTTTATCGTACGTTAACACCGCCCGCCGGAAAAAGTTCGTTTCGTCAACGTTGTCGTGAATTACACCGATTACACTAATTTAACTCTTTGCTCTTTACCACAAAGAACTCAACTCTATGTTCTTGTGCAATTTACCATTGAAAACATTTGTCTTGCACTCAAATTTATCATTTATCAAATACACATTTATATAGACAATGAAAATGTGTAACAAAGAAATATTCACCGAAAGAAAGCAATAAATTCGTATTTTTCGTGAGCAATCAAAATAAAAACTCAAAACAATTGAATTGAGGTTTGAGGTTAATACGCAAAAGAAATTAAGGTTATGTTGAGTGAGTTTTTTGTTGCTTTAGTCATTCTGGTACATCTTACAATATTCAACAGTAACATTACGAAAATATCATATTTCATCAGTCCAAACAATCTTCCGCATCTTCTTCCTGCTCTTACGCATATAGAATTACAGCTAATACGGATACATAAAGATGGATTACATTTATAAGTAATTATTATCGTTATTTCACGTGTGTTGGATAATTATCTGAGTCAAAGTCACAACTAAAGGCAAAAACATGTAAAGCGCATCTAAAAAATATCAGTCTGAATCAGTACAAAAATATTTCGAACGTCACAACGCCAAAAACTTCATTTTCGCTCTCCAAATTAATAAATACTTACTGATACACGCAGTATATTGACTTTTAGTGCACATTTAACAATTAACATGCATATTTATTAATTATTTCTGGTTTTTATTCGGACCATAATATTTGTAGAATTTGCGCGACCAAATTTTGATCTGTTACATGAACAACACGATCATCGCCTTCTAATTTAACCTCAGAATCTTGTTCCTGTTGCAAACTTTTTACCTTTTTGAATGAACCGTGATATTCATTCGCGCCGGTGTTATCAATGATAAACTTAATATTCTCAGCGTTTATACCTGCGCCTGGCATGATGATGATTCTATTACCAACTTGTTCCATGAGTTTCTTGATCAGTTTCACGCCGAGCTGTGCGTTGGGTTGCTTACCACTGGTGAGGATTCGAGTGAATCCCAGATCGATAATCACTTCGATTTCGATCGTGGGTCTTCGACAAAAGTCGAACGCACGATGAAATGTCAACGGAAGCGGAAATGCCGCTTTGACAATCTCACGACTGTTTTTCATGTCAACGTCGCCATTGGGTAACAAAGCACCAAAAACAATACCATCAGCGCCATATTTACGCAGAATCTTTGTATCTTCTTTCATTATTTCAATCTCTTCAGGAGTATAGACAAAATTTCCAGGCCGACATCGTATGAGACAAAAGACAGGTATTTTCTTTGTGTTTGCATTTTGTACTTGGATTAATAATCCTGGTGATGGTGTAAGTCCACCATCAGCAAGAGAATTACAGAGTTCTAGTCGACTAGCGCCCCCTGTAATCGCGGCGAGTGCCGACTCGAAACTGTCCACACACACTTCCAACAACCTTGGCATAGCTACAATCGTAACCTACAAAATCGAGCAAACAAAATGTTTTAATCGTATTCAACTTTATTGATTTCGATTACGATTTGTATTACCTACACGATGCGTCACTCAATACTGGATTCAGACTATCAAACACACCAACTAATTCCGTCTACAATTGTTACACTTATAACAAACAACGGTGTTACTCTGCGCGGTAAAATGCAAGAGAAGATTCACTGTACTTTCGGTAGACTGGCGGCTGCGGCTGAAACTACAGCCATACGGAAACCTCCGCCTGTGTACTTAACAACAGCGGTAGAGGGCGGCACCGGTACAGGCAACGCACGCAACGCTTCCAAATCTTTCGATCGTTTTTTCTTTTCACTTAAAAGTTGTCGCTTGGCTTCGTGTAATTCTGTATTCACTTTCTTCAATCGTTGAGTAGACTCTTTATTCTCCAATTCAAGTATACACATCTCTGATTTAAGCGACTAAACAAAGAAAATCGTTTTAAATTGATTTCTACTTGAATTCAAATCATAAACTAACCTTCAAAAGGCTCTGACTATTCGTAAGTTCTTTTTTCAAAGTTTCAACTTGTCCTACATCAGGCCCAGGTTGTTTAGCTGCCATTTTACGTAGTGACATGTATAATTTCTGTGATTCTTTCAATTGCCGTTCTCTTTCAAGTAAAACACTATCTTGTTTTAATATTTTTCTGTAACATGTTCAAAATTTGAATATTTTCATCTAAAACCTACAAAACTTACTTTTGTAGCATGTAGATCTTTTGCATAAGAACAAGCACATCCGGATCACTCCCTTTTAACTTCCGCCATCTGTGAATATTCATCGGATTGCACATTTCATCCTCACACGCTTTGTTCTTAACACGTTCCCTCGTCAAATCTCGCTCCAAATGAATCAATTCTTGTTTCAAATCAGTCATAATATGAATAGTCTGAGTCATCATTGCTTTCTCCTGTCTCAGACGCTTAATCTCAATCTTCAACAATCTAATATCATCAATTCTTTGCTGATATTGTGCATCACCGAAATTCAAAGTGCATTGTAACAATTTAACCTTCTCCTGGAGGAGGAGAACTTCTTTATCACGTTGCATAAGCTGCGCATTGAATAAATCACGTTCATTCATCAGGGTCTGGATGACTTTCATTTGATTGCGTATATTGCGTTCATTAAGGGCGATACACGCATGCGCTTTACGCTCAGTAGCTTTCGCCTCATGCAATTCCACTCGGAGGTTTTTCTGTTCTTGTAAACTTTTACTAAGTTCAAGACGTAAATCATCTCTTTGCTGTATCAAATCTTTCACGTCTGCTTGTCCCTTGATTATAGCATGAGTCTTAGCTTTTATATCTTCTTTTAATTGGGTGTTTATTAGATTACTATTGTATATTTTTTCTTGGGTGAGTTTATTATTTGCTTCCATTTCACGTATACTTGAAACTAATCTATTCTGATCAGACTTGGTTGATTCAATGAGATTATTCGCCGTGCGTAGTTTATTTTCACTTTCCGTTAGAGATTTGTTTAATTCTTGAAGTTTTATTTTTTCTGTTTTATAAAGATCTTGTGCATCTTCAATAGCTGTATTCTTGATTGAAAGTTGTTCGTTTAATCTTTCTTGTTCTTGATTTAATCTCACGATTATTTTCGCTTGTTTTTTCTTCAAATTCTTACAATTAATAATCTCTTCTCTTAATGATTGGTGTTCTTGATCTTTAACCTTGATTTCTCTTAGATTTTCCGCTGTAACTTCTGCCATTCTTGCAACCCTTATATTCAGCTGTTCTTTATCTCTGGTGTGCTCTATAACTTGTCTCTTGGTATCGATTATTTGCTTTTTTAAATCAATAGATTCTTTTATTGTTCCATTAAATTGTGCTCGAAGTTTATCACGTTCAATCTGAATGTGTGTTTTTTCTTTGAGGAGTCTTGCTATTTTATTATTAGTCGCATCTTTTTCTTTTGCTATCAAAGAAGTATCTGTTTTTATTTGCTTTTGTTCATGTTCGTTACTCTGTAGTTTCTTCTGCGCAAGTTCAATAGTTTTTTTTAAACTGTCCGCGTTAAACACAAGAGCATCATACTCCTGTTTTAGTTTATAATAACGTGTATTACTTGCTTTCATTTCATTAGCGCAGATATGCGCTTTGTGTGTTTGATCTGCTAATTTAACTGAACATTCATCCAGTGCTACTTTTGTATCAGCTAATAATTTAGTCATAAGTGCAATCTCTTCATCTTTGGATGTGTTTGATTCTTCTAATCTATTGATTGATAATTCCATGTGAAGTTTTTTTTGTCTCAGTCTCTCGACTGCAGCTGAAGTAATCTAAAAATATTTTAAGGTTAGATATTTTTAGGTTAAGTTTTGTAGGTTATACACAAACCTCCATTTCTTCTCCAATAGCTACAACTTGTAAATCCGCCACAGAAGTACGTTGTTCCAATTCTTCTTGATACATCAAAGCATTGTTGAGTTTCTCAGTTAATTTAGCAACTTCAATCTTCAACGCGTCTTTCTCACGTGCAATTCCTGCACGTTGTTTGGCAACCTGTGGATTTTCATCGAAAAAACTCGGAGCGGCCATTTTATTCTGTAACTCAATCTCGTTCTCAAGCGCTTGTATCTGTTTCCTTAAATTATCAATAATCTCCTGCGCGTGTTGCTCACGTGAATGTGCATTGTCAATTAATTTCCGCGATTGTTCAATATCAGTCTCCAATCGTGTAATCGTCTTTGTGTCTGTTTTTATCATCTCACGATTGTTTTGTAATTGTTCATCAGTAACAGCTAGTTCTTCAGAGATGATTTTATTCTGTTCCGATAAATATATACCCTGTTCACGTATATTGTGAAGATAATCGAATAATTTATTAAATTCCTCGAGGTATTTTGCAGCAGCGTGGTTTTCCTCCATTTCGGCAACAGTTTTGAGATAATTCCTCTCCAGTATTGCGAATGCATCATCCGGGTTGTTCGGATCCAGAGTGTCTTCTTCCGGGGCTTCTTCCGGCATCAAATCGAATTCTTCTTGGTCCATGATGAAAAACTTTCCCCAAAAAAATTATGCCTATGTTAACTAATAAATGACAAAAGTGTCACTGATTCCCACCATTTTATACATAACTACGACAAGGGGAAAACACGTTTCCAAGACGATGTTTAATCAATAAAAGTCAAAAAGGGCTTTATTCATTCTCACAATACGTTGGAAATATTTTACTTCCGCTGTGGGACGACAGTTAATGAACCCACTGTTAAAGATGGCACTTCACTAACATTTTCATTATCAGTCCCCGGTGGCATCTCAACTTCCCCTTTCAATCGTTCAATCATCATTTTGCTCTCCATCAATGTTCTTCTTTCGTTTGCGTGTAAACGCTGCTCGTATTTCAACTGCTCCTTCACATCACGCAGTTGATTCATGGCTCGTGTTAGGTTTTTATTACATCGACGATTAGACACTTCCAACATGTTTAATTCGGATATTAAACACTCAAAAATAAATAAATTGATTAGTATAGAGTTTTAAGGTTATGTTCTAGTAATATTAGGTTATTTACCTTGTTTTGCACAGTTTTACCAAACAAAGCTTTCTGGGTTTTGTTTAGGGTTTCTTGCACATCCGCACCGGGTTGTTGTGATAATAAAATACGTAGATTCATGTATAAATTCTCAGTTTCCTTCAATTCTTTCTCGATGCTGATTTGTACCACTGCTTGTTTTAGTAAACGTCTGAAATTAATCACTTATAATTTTTTTGGTAAAAAAATTAAGGTAAATATAATACTTTTGTAATTGTGAAGTTTTCGCTAACAATTCCGACATTTCCGGGTCACTCCCACCCAATTTCCTCCATCTGTGAACGTTCATAGGATTGTGTAATTCGTCCTCCATCGCTTTACTCTTCATTCTTTCCCGGGCAAGTTCCCGCTCCAAATGGAAAACTTGCACTTTAAATTCGTTTGAATTCCCGATGGATCTCTTCAATAAAAAGCTTTCTTGTCTTAATCTTTTGATTTCCACTTTAAGTAACCTTATATCATCCAATCGGGATTCATACTGTGCTTCTCCTCCGTATAAAGTTGTGCGTATCAGTTTTATCTTTTCCATAACCAATGATATTTCATCGTTTCTTCTGACTAGTTGTGACCCCAGCACGTCTCTTTCACGCACCAAAGCTGTAATTGTTTTTGCCTGTTCTGCTGTTAATTTTTCACTGGCTTCTATGACTTTTTCCAAGCGTTTTTCCTCAGTGACCATTTCGTTGATTTGAGTCTTCAGCGTTCGTACCCAGTCGATGCTATTATTCAAATCAATTTTAACGTTTTCTTTCTCTTTTGTGATTTTTCTTTTAATTGTTTCTTCTTTGATTAATTCGCCTTCTTTGGTACCGACGCCTTCTTTCAATTGCTCGCTTTGTCTGTGATTTATTTTAAGTCGTTCTTTCATATCGTGATTGTCTGCATTGCATTGTTGCATTTGTTTTTGTAGAGCGTTTCTATCTGCACGAACAGCATCGAATAATTCTTGTTTAAATTTGTATCGTGCTTCATTTAGAACTAAGAGTTTTTTCAGGTCTTCAAGGTGTTTGTTTTGCATACTGATTTCTTCCTTGGTGTTTTCCATTTGCTTGGCTTTTTCTAGGGATTCTTCCATTAGGCGGTCGCGTTCTTTTTCAAGGTAGAGGATTTGTTTGGCTTGTTTGCGGGTTTCAATGACGTGATCGTCGATTTCACGATTGAGGCGCTTTTTTGTTTCGTCTTGGACTTTTAGTACTTTTTGATGATCTTTTGCAACAGCTACAGGGGAATATTTTAAATAATTTAAAAAATGTTAAATAAAAAGAGATCGTGTTGCCCTTAGTCTCTGTATTAACGTATAAAGTTATCCGTTTATGGCCGCCCTAATCTAACCTCAACTTAACGCTCTTCAACGTCTTCACTTTCCCCCACTCTACATCAGTCAAGCCTACCTAATTTGTTCGGAGTGTGTATTACATTTAAGGGGAATCAAATGTACCAAGGAAAGTGCCCATTATTAACCTCAGTCCACACGGGAATCGATCCCGGGACCTTGCAGTTCATAGACAAGCTCTCTACAACTCAGCCACGACTCACCCTTGCTTTGGTTCAAAACAAAATGCAGGACATTATGTTCAAAACCAACTTAAGTCATTTTTTACTCCAGAAACAAAAAATATCCAAAATCTTACCTTGTTGTCTTAGCAGATTCCTATTCAGAATATCCCGTTCCTTCAGGTGCTCCTCAATCAGCCCTTTATTATGCTGCGTCTCCAACTTCTGTATCTCACTATCCTTCTGCATGCTGTGCACAATCTCCTTCAACTTATTCTTATCTTCAATAATGTTCATCTTGTCCGCTTCGATTAACCTCGATTTATGCACCGCGTGTTCACGTTCCTGCGTAAGTTTACTCACTTCAATCTGCAGTTTAACCCGCTTATCGTCTTTAACGCGTATTTCTTTAATAGATTTCACATTCACACGCCGCAACTCTTCGGCTTGTTTACTGACAGTCACGTAATCTTTCTGCATCTTGACATAGCGTTTATTCCACATGTGTAACTCACGAAAACACTTCTGCGCTGCTTGCGTTTGCTCCTTCAACTGCGTATCATACCTCTGTATGAGTTTCTGATTAAGTAACATTTGATCACGCAATGTATCTACTTCAACACTTTTCTTCTCCACTTCTTCAGTGTAATCAATAATATCCGACTCTAACTTGTCCTTGTGTCGCTTGTATTTACTAACTTCAGCTTGTGTTTCTTCCAGTTGTGTGCTGATGTCGGTTATGCGCAGGTCAGTAAGCGACGTGCGTCGCTCCAACTCTTCTTGATAAGCCAATGCGTTGGTTAACTTCTCGCTTAACTTTGACACTTCGGAAATGAGTTTTGTTTTTTCACGTTCAAGAGTTTCGCGGTGTTTCGCCGCCTGTGGATTCCTAAATAAACAAAAATTAATATAACTGTTTAATATTTTAAAGATAAGTATTACTCTTCAAGTTCCGCTTGCGCCATTTTATTTTTCACATCGATATCAGCGTTTAAATTCGCGATAGATTTGCGTAAGTTATCAATAACTTCCTGGGCTGCTTGTTCACGTGCTTGTGCATTGTCTACTAATAGTTTTGAAGTTGATATTTCGGCTTTCAAGTCTTCAATTTGTGTTGCGTCTGCTTCAATCGCTTTGGAACTTTCATTGAGGCGTTCTTCATTGAAGGCGAGAGCGCCGACAAGTTCCTCGCGCAATTCTTCTAATTCTATTGTGCGCTCGCGAGTATGGCACATGTAATCGAAAAGATTTGAGTAGCATTGTAGGAATCTTGCTTGTAATGGATCTTCTTCAGCTTCTGCAACCATCTATAAAATACAATTTGAATTAATAATAAATGTGCGGTTTTTAAATTGGCCACACTTTTGTGAAACTCTGTTGTAATCGCGCGAATGCTTCATCATCATTAGCTGGAGGGATGTTTTCAAGCTCCTCTTCTTCTTCTTCGCTTGCTTCTTCATTGATTGTTAGTTCTTCTTCCATGATTGTATTTTGTAAAATTATTGTAGAATCGAGTAAATCATTTAATTAAAAATGTGTCAAATATTTCATCAAATTGATGACTGGATGTATGCAACCCAGAGATGTATTGACTTTTTTTGGATATTTAATAAATGTGTTGTGTTGTGTTGATAAATATTTTCACAGGTTAGATGGCGCTACGATGTACGGTTTTGCATTAAATATTGCTTGTCGGTGGTAGTGAGTGCACACCGTGTCCGTGTGGATCACGCGATTTCGCGTAAGAGATCAGTTTGTTTACCTGCAGCTATCGAAACTTTATTTCGTGGAATCAAAACACACCGTTGCTGTTTGATATTTTAGCCTCGTAAATATTCTTCAATTCTTTCATGAATATAACTAACAATTTTATATTAATTCTATTGGTTTATTATAAAAATCATCAAGAATGCAAAACATTTTTATTATCAGCAGATCACTTAAGCAGATATCACTTAATTATTTTATGTAAAATCTGGCACTCTGTCAGCATAAGAAATCAGAATTACGCAAATCGAATTTTAATTTTTCATTACTATTTAATAACTACTGTATCATTCATAGATGGCCCTAGCATGACTCAAAAATCATAAAATTGATTTGTATTGTTTATTTCTATATTTATCGGCAAGCGTGAGCATTCGACACGAGAATTGTGTTTGTTTTGAACACAATTCACACTTTCTTATCGCATTGCCGTGTGTCGTCGTTGCCAGCACCTCACGCCGCACGTTGCTGCATCTTAGTTTAGTTTTGATCCCAAGTAAAGTGCCAAATGCAATTCGTACACAAGGTCGTGTGCTACCAACGCGCTGCCGGGTTTGCGCATCTAACAAGGTCGCGTGATATCGACGCGCCGGCTTTGCGCACCTCTTGCTTCTTATCATAAACTGCCTCGTCGTTGCTTACGCAGTTTGCAGCCAGTTTCGTGCCGGTTTCTGCTTGATCCACACGTGTTTTGCGCGACTCGTATAGTTTATCCGGAGTTCTACTTTCCAATTCGTATTATATTTGATTATCAATCGATGATTTTATTTTTACTTGACTTTAGTAAATTTAGTACAGTTATTTATTATGTGCGCGTAAGTGTTCATGGCCATGTTGATTTATTCATTATTTGGATGACCCATCGTGCTGATGTAAGTAACTTTTAACTTAACAACATAGATTGTTTGTTTTTCTCCTCTGTGTGAATATAATATTACTTATGTTTTCTTTTTTTATTTACAGTATTTACCGAGGCTTGGAGTCTGATGTTCTGCATTAATTGGTAAGTTTATAATTCAATTATATATTTCGTTTCATTTTCTGTGTCGATCATTACTTTGCATTTACGTTTCTTTTGTCGTGGTCAACCGCGTTGTGTAAAGCCTTCTACTAAAGCGTTAGCATGAAATAATTAATTTTTTTTGTTATTGGGAGTCTTACAAACTTGGACGCGGGGTCCAAATATGCATAATTAAATTTTCTACCCGGTTGTATTTCATTATTGTGTTGTGGCCTAGTCGATGTTGCGACTTCGGTTACACACGGTGGATTTATTATTTCCATTCGCTCCTATTTAATATGTTTATCTCTAATACGTCATGTACAAGAGTCCAAGTAATGACGTACGATTGAAGCCTTAGTACAACCGATTAGCAGAGGCAAATGTGATAAAGGAAGAATACATCATTTGGAAACTTAACATGCCGTACGCAAATATAATACACAAATATTTAATCGCTAATTAATATAAAATTTAATTACTACTTTGCTATCTATGATATCTATTGGTGGGACAACGGTCATAACAATTGCAAGAAAAGCGCTGATACGATACAATTTATGATTTAATATTGGAAACAAACTTGTAAAACGCAGCGTAAGAAATCAGAATTACACAAATCGAATTTTAATTTTTCATTACTTTTTACCGCTAACCTCGTACGGTGTTCTGAACACGAGTCACTTTTACCGCTAGCCTCGTACGGTGCCCTGAATGGGAGTCACTTCCACCGCTACCCTTTTTAAATTATTTTTTTCGTTTATTAGATTTTTAATTTAACTCGTCTATCTTGTAGACAATTAAGAATATTCAATCCGTACTTATCTATTGCGTTTAGTTTCTGCAAAATTGCGATGCCATCTCCTCGTACCGAATGCTGTATATTCGTATATTCTGTGCGCTGTAGTACTCGTTGCGCTAGGAATTGTAATTTTTGAGTACAACAGTGGCGTTTTTGACCTTTTACTGTTGGAAATATAATTAAATTATTTTTTATCTGATAGAGAATTTTACAATCTTTCATAATCAGCAATTCGTTGGTTGCTAGCGCTTTTAGTTTAAGAGATATGAATTTTTGAAAATCGTCGAAAAAGTATGAAGCACCCCCTTGGCAATTTTTTCTTAAGACTTAAAATTTTATCTCTCTGATTTCGGTTTTAACTATCATATCTGATAGAGATTGATCCGTAGATTAAAACCCGCGATCAGATCTTAATTATCTCTTTTAGTTTACGAGATATTCGCAATTGAATAAAATGGACAAAAATTGCAAAATGTCACTTTTAGCACTTTTAGTCGCATTTTTCGACCTTTTACTGTAGGAAATATAATTATTTTATATTCTTATCTGATAGAGAATCTTCCAATCTTACATAATCAACAATTCGTTGGTAGCTATCTCTTTTAGTTTAAGAGATATGATTTTTGAAAATCGCCGAAAAAGTATCAAGCACCCCCTTGGCAATTTTTCTTAAGACTTAAAATTTTATCTCTCAGATTTCGGTTTTAACTATCATATCTGATAGAGATTGATCCGTAGATTAAAACCCTGCGATCAGATCTTAATTATCTCTTTTAGTTTACGAGATATTCGCAATTGAATAAAATGGACAAAAATTGCAAAATGTCACTTTTAGCACTTTTAGTCGCATTTTTCGACCTTTTACTGTAGGAAATATAATTATTTCATATTCTTATCTGATAGAGAATCTTCCAATCTTACATAATCAACAATTCGTTGGTAGCTATCTCTTTTAGTTTAAGAGATATGATTTTTGAAAATCGCCGAAAAAAGTATCAAGCACCCCCTTGGCAATTTTTTCTTAAGAATGAAAATTTTATCTCTCAGATTTGCGTTTTAACTATCCTATCTTATAGAAAATAGTCCGTAGATTAAGATGCTGCGATCAGATCTTAATTATCTCTTTTAGTTTATGAGATATTCGCGATTGAAGAAAATCGTCAAAAATTGCAAAATGTCAGTTTTCAGCACTTTTAGTGGCGTTTTTGACCTTTTACTGTAGGAAATATAATTAATTTATATTTTTATCTGATAGAGAATCTTCCAATCTGTGTGACGTTGTCGGTCGCTAGATCAATTGGATTGATTGCCATGTTGTTCCCCGTTCTTAGCAGGTCCCTTCGTGCTTGAGTAAGTAATTTTTATCTCACCATTTCGATACTCCGCACAGAATGTTTGTATTTCTCCGATGTGTGAATATAATATTATTATGGTGTACCATAGAATATTAATTAACAAAATATTGCGATTTGATAGGCATTATTAAATTGCTTATGACTGGCATTTTCATAAAATTACAAAGTTGTTGCATATTTGATAAAATGTGTTTTAAATTTAAACCTGCCATTACTAGATAGTCGGTTAGATGGCACTACGATGAACGTTGTCGCGTTAAATATTGCTTGTCGGTGGTAGTGTGCACTCTTTCGTGTCCGTGTGCGATCACGCGATTTCGCGTAAGAGATAAGTTTGTTTACCTGCAGGTATCGAATCTTTATTTCGTGGGATCAAAACACACCGTTGCTGTTTGATTTTTTAGCCTCGTAAATATTCTTCAATTCTTTCATGAATATAACTAACAATTTTATATTAATTTTAATAGTTTATTATAAAAATCATCAAGAATGCAAAACATTTTTATTATCAACAGATCACTTAAGCAGATATCACTTAATTATTTTATGTAAAATCTGGCACTCTGTCAGCATAAGAAATCAGAATTACGCAAATCGAATTTTAATTTTTCATTACTATTTAATAACTACTGTATCATTCATAGATGGCCCTAGCATGACTCAAAAATCATAAAATTGATTTGTATTGTTTATTTCTATATTTATCGGCAAGCGTTCTCTGCTGTTTGAATATAATATTACATGAATATAATGTTATAGTGATAGTTGTGTGTATACGCATATACGCAATAGTACTCGTAGCGCTAGGAATTGTACTTTGTTAATATTATAACACGCGTACGCGGTCTTAAACTAGGTTCGGATTAATTCTCCTTTAAGCAGAATTTAATTCTTAATCTTCCTGTATTGGAATTTATTGCGAGAAAATTCCGTAACGCAAGTTATAGTGATAGTTGTGTGTATACGCATATACGCAATAGTACCCGTAGTTTCATTAGTATAACGCGCGAACCGAATGCTAAAATTAACAACTGATGTAATGAATTATTATATTTTATTTTATTTTAGTGCACTTCAGAAATGTGCTATTTCAATTCTACACGCATATCGGGGTTTGTGTATAAACAAGTTTTTATCTCGCTATAAACGTGCGCAATGCTGCCTCTCATGCTACGTACGTTCGACCGCTTCAGTCGGTTCTTACCTGCACGCGGCTCGGCATCATTCTTTCATTCATTCCGATTACATTACATTTTATTATTGATTAAAAATGAGTATTTCTAACGGCACTTAATAACAACAGACCTGTAGATTGTTCTGCTAAGGATGATTTACGCGTAAACTGATTATAAAACTGGTGTTTCCATGTGCGTGGCGGCTATTGGATTATTTCGATGTTGAGAATTGGAATTAGAAATATGTATCCTATTCGTAATTTTAAGTAAGTGAAATTAACGACTGTCCTTGGCAGTATATTCCGGGAAAATTGTGTGTTAAAATAGTACAGGTTCATTATCCCTCAAAACAAATTTAAATAAGTGTGCATCATAGTGCGAGTTCTCACACACGTGTTGTTTTTTTTTTGTTTCAGTACTTTCTATGATTACTTGATGCACTGGTAAGTTTGTAAACGTTATTACATTATACTTTCATATTTATCTAAAATTGCATGTAACGTGAATACCGTAACAACACAAAATTGATGCGTGCCGTCGGATGCGACTTGGATCTACCCGCAGAGTATGGTCATGTCAATCATCGGTTTAATAACGTGAAATTTTCCTTGCTCGCATTTTTATTTTTATTTCCTAAATCTGCGGCTCTTTAACGTATTTTCGTAATTTTGCAATTAATTATTGAGAGTAAAATATTTGTAAAATGTTTGTAAAATGTAGCAATTTTCTTCTTGTATCACCCTATGTTCTACTTTACCATGCGTTCTAGTGTAAAACTGACTAAATTTGTCGTTTCTGGGTCGTTTTCTACTTAAACTTTGTATTTTATTTTTAAATTTAGGAATTTCCTGTTTGTATCACCCTGTATGTTTGTTTTTCTTGATTTTCTTTTTTGTACTATTGATTTTCTTCTTGTGATGTAGTAATTTCCTTTTTGTAGCACCCTGTATATTTGTTTTTCTTGTTGTTCGTGAAAATTTAGCTTTAGTTGTTGTTTTAGGTTTTTCTTCTTTGCACTTTGAATTTTCTATTTGTAACACCTTGTATATTTTTTCCCATTTTCACTCACGTAGAAAATGGTCTATTTCCTAATTTCTTCATCCCGGTAGTACTTTGCGAAGTGTAACTTGCTTGCATGTGCGCGGCTATGCAGGTCGTAAGTCCTGTTTCAATATGGCGACATGTATTCTGTTGACTTGTAAAATATAAACTTGTATTCTATTGTTAATAAAGAAATAGTAAAATATATTGACTTCTTTGATTTGTGTACCTCTTCTATCATTTCAGGAACAGGTCTCTAAGAGAGTTCCCTCTCTCAGGGGATGATCCCCACTATAAAAATTGTTAAGGTATCCTGTGTGATTTATGTGCTCCTTCTTTCATTTCAGCAACAGGTCAGAACTGGTAAGAATATTTTTAAGTGTCACCTCTCTTGAGGCGACTTAAAACTTAGAAATATTTTTACAAGACCTTATAAGGATTGTCCTTATAAGGAGTTCCCTCTCTCTGGGGGTGATCCCCCACCATAAAAATTGTTGATATGCCTGATAATTTCGGGGATGAAGCGCAGAGACATCGTAGCTGTAGGTTGGGCCGGGAGCAATGGACGCATCGAAGCAGTGGGCGATCGACCAGAGCGCCGGAGGCGCTCTGGGAGATCGACCGTAGACTGTCTTATAACGACACGTGCCAAAAAATTTAAAAATCTCATCCACTCCTGTTCTCTTTCTTCTATCTTCTCTCTTCCTTCTCTTCTCTACTACTCCTTCTTCTTCTTCTTCTATTTCTCTGTTCTCCGTTTCTCTACCTACTTCCTTGCTTCTCATATTGCCTTCACTTGTATTTCAATTTCTCTTATATTTCGTTGCAATTTATATATGCAACCCAAATTTCACCTGTTATTTTTATATTTGAGAAAAATGCCTCCCATACCTGAGACTCGATCCGTGTCTACTAGCATGCTAGCAGGTGCACGTACCCACTCGACCACCGAGTGTTTTTGTTATTAATATTTGATTCTTCTATTTATGTTTCTACTTCATTCAACTTTTTAAAAACAACAACACAACTCAGCTATGTTGCACTTAAGATGTCAATACTGAAAACGACAAAGAGGATACCATAAAGAAATATGAATAAGATTTTACAATGTGTTTTATTGAGAACAATAATAATAGATACATTTTTTTAATTAAAAAAAAATCAACAGTTAGCAAATTTGGGAGTAGTAAAAACTTGCCTTCAAATACGCACATCTCCAACATTTCAGTTAAAGATATTGCTAACTCAATCCGTGCACTCACATTTGCAGGAATTAATTATAAATTCAAGTTTTTCTTATGTGCGAAACGATAACTGATTGTCAACGGTCACGCGCGCACTGAACATAAAATTAAATTGATAAACACAGCGCGTGCAACACATAAATTTAATACATGAATAATGGTTTAGCCACGCGGACATACTTATCCGACGGTCACTACGCACGTCCTACAAACAACCACCACACTGGTCTGTTATTACTAAAGTTTAATTACAGAATTCTAGATTAATTACAGAATTAAGATCTTTAGTAACGCTAACAAATGTCACGAAGTTTGATTAAGAACAAAACACGTGCACACCACACCACGGCGCACGACCAACTAAACCGGGCTAAACAAGAACGAGAATTGATAACCGACCCACAGTTAGAGGGGAAACTATCTATGTTGGAAGTTGAAAACAACAACGTAATAACAGAAAGTATGTGATTTGAAGCAATTAAATTACCGTACTTTTGTTTTAATTTTGTAGGTTTCTCAAAGGTTAAACCCACATGTTATATACGTAAATGAAAGAGAATTTTAGTACCTACAATTTGATGAAAAAAACGTTGTCCTACGGTGCCTGGTTCGGCCGCTAGACACCTAAAACAGCAAAAATTAGACAACAAAAACACAAAAAGGGCATTTTCGTAGGTTTCCCAAGGGATAAACCCACATGTTATATACGTAAATGATAGAGAATTTTAGTACCTACAATTTGGTGAAAAAAACGTTATCCTACGACATCAGGTTCGGCCGCTAGACACCTAAAACACCAAAAATTAGACAACCAAAAACAGAAAAAGGACATTTTCGTAAGTTTCCCAAGGGATAAACCCACATGTTATATACGTAAATGATAGAGAATTTTAGTACCTACAATTTGGTGAAAAAAGCGTTGTCCTACGACTTCAGGTTCGGCCGCTAGACACCTAAAACAGCAAAAATTAGACAACAAAAACACAAAAGGGCATTTTCGTAGGTTTCCCAAGGGATAAACCCACATGTTATATACGTAAATGATAGAGAATTTTAGTACCTATAATTTGGTTTCCCAAGGGATAAACCCACATGTTAAAAAAAGAGTTGTCCTACGAAATAAACGTTGTCAGGTTCGGCCGCTAGACACCTAAAACAGCAAAAATTAGACAACAAAAACACAAAAAGGGCATTTTCGTAGGTTTCCCAAGGGATAAACCCACATGTTATATACGTAAATGATAGAGAATTTTAGTACCTACAATTTGGTGAAAAAAACGTTGTCCTACGTCATCAGGTTCGGCCGCTAGACACCTAAAACAGCAAAAATTAGAAAACAAAAACACAAAAAGGGCATTTTCGTAGGTTTCCCAAGGGATAAACCCACATGTTATATACGTAAATGATAGAGAATTTTAGTACCTACAATTTGGTGAAAAAACGTTGTCCTACGTCATCAGGTTCGGCCGCTAGACTCCCAAAACAGCAAAAATTAGACAACCAAAAACACAAAAAGGGCATTTTCGTAGGTTTCCCAAGGGATAAACCCACATGTTATATACGTAAATGATAGAGAATTTTAGTACCTATAATTTGGTTAAAAAAGCGTTGTCCTACGACATCAGGTTCGGCCGCTAAACACCTAAAACAGCAAAAATTAGACAACGAAAAACACAAAAAGGGCATTTTCGTAGGTTTCCCATGGGATAAACCCACATGTTATATACGTAAATGATAGAGAATTTTAGTACCTACAATTTGGTTAAAAAAGCGTTGTCCTACGACTTCAGGTTCGGCCGCTAAACACCTAAAACAGCAAAAATTAGACAACGAAAAACACAAAAAGGGCATTTTCGTAGGTTTCCCATGGGATAAACCCACATGTTATATACGTAAATGATAGAGAATTTTAGTACCTACAATTTGGTTAAAAAAGCGTTGTCCTACGACAACAGGTTCCCGCTAAACACGGGGCACACATTGATAAACGCGTAGAGACAAAAACGATAACAATTGATAGAGAATTTTATTTGTTAAAAAGCGTGTACTGGCGAATATTCATAATGTTGAAATATTCTCGAACGAGGGGAATATAAAACGACCAAATACGCCGTATTCAATACCCAGATCAAAGTTAATTAGAAATGAAAAATCAAAAGAGAATATTAATTCAATTGCACCTACCAGTGAAATGATGGCGAATATTAATTGATACGGTTTTGCACGGGGTTTGCAGCCTGCACATGCCGTCGATGTTGGATTGTAACGATTGATCGAATTCCGTTTCCAAGACGTGGCGAATTATAAGTTTTCACAAACACAAATCTCGATAAGCGCGAAGTCAAAATAATTCTAGTAAAACACAGATGATAAAAAGAAACGATGCGAAGCGCCTCGAGCAACGCGTGCGGGCAAACTAGCGGCGCTAGCGGCTAAGCCACCTCAACTCAAGTCGCGTGCGCCGAAGGTGCTTGCAGCGCGCACAAGTTGTGCGCAACATACGCGCGCGTTTCTGTTCTCAAGGTCAACGATCACGCAGTACACTAGGCGTGTACATTAAGATATGCAACTTTAAGTTCTTTATACATAATAGCAATAAGTATAAATAAAACTATAAATTTAAACCTTAAAAATAAATTAATTTCTATTTATTATTCAATTAGGAAATCATGTGAGAGCTGAATTTCCTTGTCTTACCTGTTTTCCACAGGTACTAATAGCTCGCACCCTCGCGCACAACGCAGTATGTAACCCTTGTGGGCCCAGCTTACCCCACTACTTCTTGCGGGTCTTTTGCAGGTATAGCCGAGTCCTATGGTTTCTTCTCTTTCTTTTTCTACATGGGTTATCCCCCACTACTACAAGCAGTCACACGCGACCAATCGAATATCCCAGGCATACCCCCACCACTTTTTGCTGGTCCTACGCAGTTTTAAAAGGCGCGCACAGTGCGCTTCGTGCTCATTCGTGCCTGAGTTGTCCAGCAGTCCAGTCGCAGCTCCCTAAGGTCTCTACGCTTATTCTCTATTTTAACTCACAAGGAATATTTATTATAAATATCGCAAAGAAACGAATTATTCAACAATTTGTTTATTTCTTATATCTTTTCACGATTTTCTTTTCTTATGGCACTCTCGTCTTTGAAGTTAAGTCTTTTAATATCTTTCCGCACGCAATTCTCATTTCACATTCACACATCAATAACATTAAATTCAGACTCAGTCCGCAATCATCTCGCGTGCGCCGCCATTCGCACCATATCAACAACGGTGTAATAAAACTTAAAGAGTGAACAACAACAATAATATACATACATATACAATAATATTGATAGAATTAACCGTAATAATTGATTTCTCCAATTCGCGCGAGTGTGAGATTGCTCGTAAATATCGATCGAAAATGTAGCGCAAGCTTAAACGTTACGAAATAAGTATTGGACCATGGTTGCAGTGCTTGAAACAATCGAAACACGCTCCGCATACTCTTGTGCGCTTATATGTACATACGTCTATATGAAAAACTAATTTGTACGGAGTTCGGTATTGGTGTTCCAATCGCTATACATAATATGATGGCAAACACGTTCAAAATTATTGCGCAATAGAAAAATACGTCTCATTTCGTCCGAGAAACAGTACCATCAACTCTTACTTAAGTGTCTCTATAGTTGTATTTCTAGTTTCGTATCATTAAAATATATCACAAGCGAATAGTCACGACTGCTTGCAGCCGGGCAGTCGTTTCACCGTAATACATGAAATCGGCTTCTTCCATCGGCGCTTCGATGACGACGAGCACGTCGACGTCGTGCCGTTCTTGTTTGTATCCTCTAGTCTTTGTCTTTCCTCTGAAACATCAAATTTTTATTTGAAAAATACATCCAGAGGAGAAATTTAGACAAAAAATCAATAATTTTGATTTTTAAACAGTAAAAACCGTAAATTAATTTTTTTTAAATCAAAATGCAATAGTTTTAAAGGTTTAGAATTGTTTTAACGGCAGAATATTTAATTTTATGCACAAAAACATTTTAAAAAATATTTTTTTTTACCATTTAATTCCCTCTCAGTGTAATATACGTCGTCGTTATTGTCGGCTTCCTCATAATAATGATCATTGAGGTAGGGCAGCACAGTCATGTTGTGCAGCTCATCACCACCTTTGAGCGCTGGAATCGGTACTTCAATCGATTTCCGCGCTGGTTTCCGATAAAACCAACTAAAAATCACCCAAAAAATAAAAACATCCTTAATTTCCCAATAAAATCAATAAAACACATACGAATGTTGGCGAATTTGTTGTAAACTAAGTCGTTCATTGGGATCCTTCCTTAACAACCCCAAAAGTAAATCCCTCAGAGGATCAATAATATCACCAGGTATCGTAAATTCACCTCTACCGATATTCTCAAACAGTCTATAAATATTATCGCCCTCAAAGGGATAGATACCAGTGGTAATGTTGTACAAAGTAACCCCGACGCTCCAAATATCCACTTTGAACCCCAGAAAAGATTCCAACCCATTGGCGATTTCGGGCGGTTGAAACGCCGGCGAGCCTTGACCATTGTGACACGTATCGTCCGGCGCAAACAAATCAATTGTCTAAAATGTAAGTTTTTAGATACTTAGCAATGCGGTGCTAATGACGCGATCGCACCTCGGCAACACCCAGGTCGCTAATTTTCAAGTCGCCCTCCAGCGTCAGCAACAGATTACCCGGTTTGAGATCTTTGTGAATGATACGCATGCTGTGCAAATACTCCAGCCCGTCGATCAGTTGCGTGAAGTAATCGTGCGCCTGAAAAAGCGGAAACTTTTTGTTCGGCGTTGAGTCCAGCATGCCCTGCAGCGACCCAACGCAGAACTCCATCACCAGGTACATTTTCTGCTTCTCATCATTAACAAGCACATCAACTAATCGAATCACATTCTTGTGTTTCAATTGTCGCAGCAGTTTGATTTCACTGGAAGATAATAGATTGTATTAGTTTTATTTGTTGGGTGCTGAAAGTGAAGGCAACCTTTGTACATTTTGTTCACCATTCGGTATCCGGCGTAGCTTGCGTTGTTTGAGGATCTTCACAGCGCGCCGGCAGAGTGTGTCTGTGTCCATGAGTTCTTTCACCTTTCCATAGGAACCTTCTCCGAGGAGATCACCCATGACATATCTACCAATCATCTTCAGCCGACGCGGTTTGACTGCATAGATGATTTGGTCACTGCCTACCCGATGGAAGAAGCTGTTGATGTTGAGGTTGTCCAGGTCATCGTCGATGGGATCATGCCATTCGTCTAGTGTGGCGGTGGTTGGTGCGCGCTCCTCGTCGCCATCCTCGGAGTTGACGCTGAAGATGCGCGTGTTCATCTCGAGTTCGCTGTTACACATTGTGGGGCTGGTGCGGCTGCTGGTGTCCTCGTCCATGGTTACGTGCACGCGCGTTTGTTTGTCCGCCGCACACGCACGGATGCCGTCTGCTAGCCGCCGAACGACATGTGCGAGGCAAGCTGCCGCGGCCACCGTGCGCTAGCTGGGGGGTAATATGACTCGCGCGTAGATCATTTACGACACTTTGGACATAGTTGTGCTCACGCAATGCGCGACCAGAGTTTGGAATTTTTAATTTGCCGAAAACTGTATTCAAGAGACAACTAGCAGACTCGCTGACACTTTGCAAGCTGGTGCATGCAGCACCTATCGGCGGAAATTGAAACTAAATCAAACAAAGTTTAAATTATTAAAATCTTTAACAAAACATAAATTTAATAGAATATTTAATCAAAATACTCTTTATTAATTAAAACTCAATCGTTTTAGTTAATATTTATAAGGTTTTATTGTTTAAAACTTGATTTTATTATAAAAAAACAATAAAATCAGCTGGTTTTCTAGGGAATTTTGTTTTCCTTTCATTGGTAACACTGCAAAATGTTATTTTACTAACATGACCTTGGAATTTCCATTGAATTTTCCAATTTTCCGCCTTCCGCCCACAACAATGCACCCTACAACTTCCAGCAACACTTCCAACAGGTAATTCGCATCATTACCACATTATTTACACGCCGTCTGCATGCCCGATTTGAATGCGCATCAATCGATGACGTTTATTTAGGTAGCACTGATAAAACCGGTTGGAAATAAATTTTTTCAATGTCACCTTGAAAAGCCTCGTGTCCCCGTCCGTGATATTGCCGTGCGCGCACTATTTACGCGTGCGAGAGCCAAAAGGATTTCGAATAGAGGTCAGCGGCGCGAATTCAGCGAGAGTTCGAAGGAGTGCGCACCGCGATTGCGATTTATTTGCATTTTATCGAATGCGTTATCAACACTCTCCGGTGATTTCGTTGCGTTATCGTTTACTCCACAGGACGGCGTTAATTACAATCAAGTTTCTCTTATCGTAAAGTAGCTGAAAAGTTGTTTTTTATGCATCTGAAAACAACTTTAAAGTGTGTAGTTGTATTTGATCGTTAAAGGTATGTTTTTTTTCTTATTGTATTGTTACTGCCTATAAATAAACTAACTAATATTTATTGCATGCGTGCTTGTGTTAATTATGCGTTTTGTTCGTTTAGTTCGCAATGTTTTTCTTGCGTGTGCGATGCTTATCTAGAAATCGTTAAATTTGTTTCAAGATTTCATTATTTCTTCAGGAAATCTTTTGTGTAATGCTTGTAATTTAATCATCCGTTTAATTTTTATTTATTGCTAATAAATTATAAGTAATCTTATAAATTTAATTATTTATTAATTTAATTAAGTGAAAGTTATGTGTATGTTGGGTTGCATACATTAAATACGTAAATTCTTATCCATAATATGATAAAATGCATAAAATCGCACTTTTTATGGGTTTAACAACTTCAATTCTTGTTTAATATGATTTAATATGATTTATAAATAAATTATCTTCAAATTGAAACCAAAATTGTTGAATTTACGCAAGGCATTCATGAATTATAAGCAAAAATATCAAAAAATTAAGTCCAAAAATAACCACGTGGTAAATCTATAAAAATAACTTGTTTATAACAAATTATCTACGATTAAGCAAAACCTATTAATAGCATAAGATGTAATACTAACCCAGTAATCAGAAAATGCGATGTGTCTCTCTCCAAATGCAAATTATTAATGAAAATTGACTCATTTATTTAGTCTGCGTGCAAAACAAACTCATTACATAAACTAAGCTTTGATCGTTTGACCGAGTGCGCCAACACATCACATCATAACACAACATTAGCCCATCTTATCGCGTTGCAGAGCAAATTCAAATTTTCGATACATTCGGCCGCGCTGAATGGATTTTTACGTGATCCAGCCGACCTTTCAACCAGCCGCGCGCCGATTAAGCTAAATGTGTGTATGACAAATCACACATCACTGAAATGCGCCGTGCAAAATAGTTAATTCGATATGTGTTATCCGCGAGCGCGCGACTTGCACAAGTTCAAAACAATTGCGGCAGTTAAATCGAAATAAAATGGTTAAAAACCGCCTGATTCCGCCGACGAAAAAGCGCAAAAATCGAAATAAAAACCACGGAATCAACAGCCGCGAACGCGAGAATTTCATTTGGAGACAATGGATACGAATTTGGGGCATAAATCAGTTTTTACTAACTTCTGCAGTGAATACAATCGGTGCAATTGGCAACACAATAAAGAAAACTAAAGAACACACATTTAACCTCACTTTGGCGCTGCCAAGATGGTGTCTTAATCAAATGCTAACCATATCAAAACAACTAGAAAACGTATTTTAAATTTTTTAAGAGTTTTGAAGTTAATTTTAAAGATTAAATAAAATATTTAGGTTACAGGTGCGGATGTTGAACGCCAACAACGCCAAAATCAAGTTTCACTAATCCGGGATGATTTGGTAGCACCAAAATTAAATGGTGGGGCAATACACAAGCTTCCAACAACCCCGCAAACGAATCAAAATCAACCTGCCACTCTCCAACTGAGCCGTCCACTCAATCAAATTATTGAAGACACTTTTCGCGAAGAATTCGCCAATACCTACGGCAATTATCATAATCTACGTCAGAGAACCAGCCGAAAGTTACAACAACAACAAAAACCTCCACAATCCACACCACTTCAAAAACAATTGAGTATAACTCACATAAAAACCAAAACTAAACGTCAGACAAGTATTGAGACCATTAGCGAAGAAGTGGTGACACCTAAAAAGGACCCGAAAGACCTCCAAAGTGATATTAGTAATACCCACAAAGAAATCGTCAAAACCCTAACCCAAATCCTCTCGAGAAGTGAAGAATTACGAAAAACTCTCATGGGTGGACAAATGCAGGACGTACGCAAGGATAAAGGTCCTGTGCGGGTCCTGAATTTATCCCTCGGACAACACCAAGATTCTGTGATATACAGAATCAAAAGAAACACGAGTCTACAATTCAGGTTAGGTCCTAACCTCTTTGGGAAACGCGGAAAGTTATTTTTTAACTACCCAGTTGGTATCAGACTCTTCAAAAGAGATGAATACCAAGACCTAGAATGGAGGTTGGATGACAACTGCAAAAACTCCGATGATACTGCTTACTACGCCAAGTTGAAGTTGACTCTCCCAGGTGGATATCATTATTATCTGGAAGACAGATCAGATAAATCAATTCTAGCTTCCGGGTATGTTTTGGTTGACCCAGAACTCAGTTTCGGTCCAAATGAACCCCTGCCATTGGACTGTATCCAATGCCAAACTGTTTTGGCAAAGTCCCTTGGACATTTCAACACCTGGCCTGGGAAACTCCTTGTGGCCAAGGAAGCCGGATACAACATGATTCACTTCACACCTATCCAAGAACTAGGAGATTCTAACTCCTCGTACTCCCTAAGGGATCAACTCAAACTCAACCCGCAGTTTAATGATAAACATCACGTAACCAAAGAGGAACTGAGTGATTTTATTGAGAAGTTGAGGAGTGAATGGAAGATGCTTTCTATTTGTGATATTGTATTGAACCATACAGCTAATGAGAGTCCATGGTTGGTGGACCATCCGGAAGCGACTTACAATTGTTTGAATTGTCCGTATTTGAGACCTGCGTATTTATTGGATGCGGCTTTGTATCAGTTTTCCAGGGATGTCAGGGATGGAGTTTATGAGACTTCCGGGATACCGAAAGAGATTTCTACTGAGGATCACCTCAATGTAAGTGGGTTCAAAAAGGTTTTCTTCAATATTTTAACGAAAATTATTCTAGGCTGTGAGGCATTGTCTTCAAACAGAGGTTTTAAGAAGACTAAGGCTTCAAGAGTTGATTATTTGTGACGTGACCAAATTAGTCAGCGAATTTTTGGTTTTGGTAAGGACCAGATCACCATATCCAGCTGGAAATGGTGAAAATCTACCAGGGATACAAATTATAACAGATAGAAAATACAAACGAATGAAAAGCACTGTAAATATGGAACTAGCCCTTAAACATTACAATGTCTACAGGTATTTATAACCTCATTCATAACCTCAAAATTAAAAAATTAAAAAATAAACCTTTTCACAGGAGTGATTGTTTTGATGAAGAAACCCGTATACAAAAGTGCACAGAAGAATTCAAAAACACCCTGGATGAACTCAACAGAATCCTAGAAGATAACCTCCAAAATGATTTGAACGCCGCTGTAGAAAACACAATCGCCGGGATAAGATACTACCGAGTCCAACCGGATGGAATGCAATGGAAAGAAATCTCCGAAGATAAACCATTGATTTATCGCTATTTTACCGATTATGGTAAACCGGAAACCTACGCTGAGCATGAATCAATAATGTACTCACCCAATGCTAAGTACCTCATGGCCCACAATGGTTGGGTGATGAATTCTGACCCTCTAACCAATTTTGCATCAAATGCAAATGTCTACTTACGTAGGGAATTGATCGCTTGGGGTGATAGTGTCAAGTTACGATATGGTGAACGTCCGGAAGACTGTCCATTCCTCTGGAAACACATGCAGACTTATGTTGAAGAAACAGCGAGGGTCTTCGATGGAGTGAGGTTAGACAACTGTCATTCCACACCGTTGGTAGTCGCGGAATACTTACTAGATTGTGCGAGGATAATCAAACCGAATTTATACGTCGTGGCTGAACTATTCACCAACTCAGATTTGACGGATAATGTTTTTGTTAATCGATTGGGTATTACCAGTTTAATCCGTGAAGCGGCATCTGCTTGGGATTCACATGAAGAAGGAAGACTTGTTTATCGATATGGAGGGAGTCCGGTAGGTGCTTTCTATGAACCTTCTATACGTCCATTGACACCTACGATCGCGCATGCTCTGTTCATGGATCTTACACATGATAATCCCAGCCCGGTGGAGAAACGCTCCGCGTATGACTTGTTGCCTACCACTGCACTGGTCAACATGGCGTGCTGCGCCAGTGGATCTACAAGAGGTTATGATGAACTTGTCCCACATCATATCCACGTGGTAGAAGAAACACGTGAATATACCGAATGGGGTTCAGATCCAACTAATGTCAGATATGTTAACTTCACCAATGGAATTTTGCACGCGAAGAAAATTATTAACAAACTTCATCACACGTTGGGTTTTGAAGGTTATGAGCAAGTCTACGTTGATCAAATGGACGCGGATATTGTTGCCGTTACTAGACATAACCCTATTACACATAGTAGTGTTATACTGGTTGCCTTCACTTCGTTTTCCACACCAAAAGAAAGCGATATAAAGTCACAGAGATCTGTTAAACCTTTACGAGTTGAAGGGACTTTAGATGAGGTTATATTCGAAGCATCCATTGCGGATAAAGATGAATATAGTTATATACATGACTTTCAAAAGGATAATAGATATATCAACGGATTGCGAAATATGCAGGTGATTGTAAAAGAGCATTTCCCATTGGAAAAATCAGAAGTTCTCGTTGAACAACCCTCGGGGGATTGCAATATGTTACAATTTGGGTTTAAGAACTTTCATCCGGGATCAGTGGTAGCCATTAGGGTTTCCCTCAAAAAAAGCGCGCAGAGTTCTGTAAAGATTCTGAGAAATCTAATTGAATCCCCACAAGTGGAACTAAAATCTATTATTAATGATTTGTCCTTGAATGATTTAAACCGTGCTCTGTACAGATGTAGTCAGGAGGAGTACGATGACGGGTTCAATATTGGTTGTTACAATGTCCCTGGTCATGGGGAGTTGGTCTATGCGGGTCTACAAGGAGTAATGTCCCTTTTGGCAACGATAAGACCCAATAATGATTTGGGGCATCCCCTGTGTGATAACCTCAGGAAAGGTGATTGGTTATTGGAGTATATACATAGGAGATTACAACTCCACAAAACCACCAAACTCCTGGGAGATTGGATTGAAGATAACACACAGGAATTGAAGAAGATTCCTAGGTATTTGATACCTGCGTATTTTGATGCAATTATTACCAAGATTTACGTGGAGTTGATTGAGGCATCTGCCCAGAAAATGGGCGATTTTGTTAAACATGGGTCTGTGTTTGTAAGGGCACTGGCCCTGGGGTCTGTACAATTTGGGGCGTTTGTAAAATCAGCCCGTTTGCCCACTCTATCACCAAAATTGAAGGACCCACCTCCGAATATTGTAATAATCGGGGATGAAATTGAGATTACTTCCAGTTTATCAGCAGGTCTTCCACATTTCGCCACGGGGTACATGAGAAACTGGGGAAGGGATACTTTCATCGCCCTGAGAGGGTTGTACATCCTAACTGGGAGGTATCAAGATGCTAGATATATGATTCTTGCATACGCGGCTTGTTTACGACATGGGTTGATCCCGAATTTACTAGACGGAGGAAAGAATTCACGATTCAACTGTCGGGATGCAGTCTGGTGGTGGTTGTACAGCATAAAATCCTACGTTGAAGAAGTCCCCGGAGGAGAAAGCATCTTCCAAGACCCTGTAAGTAGGATATTCCCGAAAGATGACTCCGAAGCCCATTCCCCGGGTACCTGTGATCAACCTCTACATAGAGTAATGCATGAGGCTTTAGAGGTACACTTCCAAGGGATGACCTTCAGGGAAAGAAACGCTGGGAGTAAGATTGATGAACACATGGTGGATCAGGGCTTCAACAATCAAATTGGGATCCATCCGGAGACAGGGTTTGTCTTCGGTGGGAATGAACACAACTGTGGGACATGGATGGATAAAATGGGTTCGTCCCAGAAAGCGGGTATCAAAGGGAAGGTTGCAACGCCTAGGGATGGCAGCGCTGTGGAATTGATAGGGTTATGTAAAGGGGTCATCACGTGGTTGACCAAGATGCATGACGACCACTACTACCCACATAATTCCGTACAAAGAAAACAGAAAAATGGTACATTTGTCCGGTGGACCTTCAAAGAATGGGCTGAGAAAATCCAAGTGAACTTCGAGAAGTTATTCTGGATTGATGAAGCAGATTCTGAAGTTGAGAATAAACTAATCCACAAAAAGAATGTCTACAAGGATTGCTACGGGGCAAGTCGCCCATGGACTGATTACCAACTACGGTGCAACTTCCCAGTTGCCATGGTAACAGCCCCAGAGTTGTTCAATCCTACAAAAGCATGGAAAGCACTTGAACAAGCAGAGAAATACCTCCTAGGTCCACTCGGGATGAAAACCCTAGATTCTGAAGATTGGAATTATAGAGGAGACTATGACAACTCAAATGATTCCGAGGATAAAACAATCGCGCATGGGTTTAACTACCATCAAGGCCCCGAATGGCTATGGCCCACTGGGTATTACCTACGAGCCAAATTGATTTTTGGAGCGAAGGTCAACAAACTCCCGGAAGCAATCACACATGTAAAAGCAGTACTCGCGAATCATTTCGTAGACTTACAGAGCTCTGAATGGCGAGGGTTACCTGAATTGACCAACGCAGATGGCGCTTACTGCAGGGACAGTTGTCGAACACAGGCGTGGAGTATGAGTAGCATCCTAGAAGTTCTGCATGACTTACAGCGTATTGAAATGTCTAATTGACACTGCCGCACACTCGTAGAACCCATCACATCACGCAGTCAATCACAACCTGTCTTGAACCCACATCTTAGTACCACACAGCACTACCGCAACCACACACAATCTTGTACTGATTTATCTACACCTTCAACATCTACACAACCTTCACAATTCTGTCAAATACTTGGATATAAACCAGCGCCAATTTTCAAATGCTCTTTCACAACTTTACTGAATCTACCTTTCGATAAACACACAAATCGTGTACCACTGCAGTTTAAAAACAACGCAGTTGTATTGGTATCTAAAAAACGTCAAATACAAGAAGATTTAGATGAAATATCACCTGTTGATGAAGATAGGTCCATGACCTTGGGTGAGGATGATGATGATGCCACAGTTGAATTGGCGTCATGTTCATCAACTAAAGTGGTTATAATGGAACCACTCTTGTTACAAATGATGCCTTTACGCAAAAGCCGCACGGATCCACGCCTCAATAAACGACAATTGTATCAGGAACACAAGAAAAACGTCAGATTGATGATTTCCTACTCGTTTTTGATCTGCGGTTTGTTGGTTATTTCATTCTTTACATTATACCTAAGATGATTGTATCCCAAAATCAATACTTATTTATATATCACCATAGTTACGCTCACGAAATAAATATTTTGCAAAGCGACACCGAAAACACCGCAATTTTTATCTCGTCTTATAAAGATTTATAAAATGGCGACGGCTGTACCCGATGAAGCACTAGTAGCACCCATAGAAGTGAAAAAAATCGTGCACACTTATCCGCTAATCAGAGAATCAGATATGCCCGAGGAAATGAAACAAGAATCAATGGAAATGGCAGTGACTGCATGCGAGAAATTCGCGGCGAATAACGAAGCAGCTGCGAAGATGATCAAAGAACAAATGGATAAAAAGTTTGGGCCGCCATTTCATGTCGTGGTGGGTGAAGGCTTCGGGTTTGAAATCACCTACGAGTGCTCCAATCTGCTGTATATGTTCTTCGGCGGCAACATGGCGATTGTCGTGTGGAAATGCTTGTAATAAGTAGAGCATTCAGTTAAAACGTGTACAAGTGTAATTATTATCTCAAATAAACTCTACTAATATAAAATACATGATATTTCAGTCCATGATAGAAGCTTGTACGTTGCACTTATACTGCAGTCTTATTGATTAAAGCTTCGATATTCATTATTTTCTATATATATTAAAACTTTAAAGCAAAAACTCAAAAAAATTAAATTTAATGAGTGTTGTACTTCGTAAGGAGTTCTTTTGTGGCTTTTGCTATTTCATACGCGCATGTACGTACCTGTGTCATCATCTTTTCAGATTGTATCGTGTCAGAGGGTTTTGCGTTTTGTAATCCGATACAATTCGCTTGCAACTGCGCCACGCTGTCTAAAAGTTGTTTTACTACATCACTACCAGCTTCCTGTTGATAAAAATTTACATTTTATAACCTCACTTTTATTACTTTTACATTTTTTTGATTAACTTACCGCAGGAATTGCTTTTGTTAGATTTGTAACCGCGAAACAAATGCGGTCAGCATGATGAATGCAATTGTCACGTCCTGTGCCTTGAATACACTTCCACAAATCAGAAATACCACGAGTTACTGGTTCAATACATTGCATTACGTTTTGATTCTTTTGGCTCTGTAATGGCTGCTGTTTAATCTGTCAAAAACAATTTTTAACACAAAATAAATAAAATTATGTTGTTAAACTTTACCTGGTTTTTCATTGTTTGCCAATTTAATGTCCTGAGACCCTCACGGGTTTCATACATTGAATTGGGCCTCTGGATACGTTTCGATGTTGTATTTTTATCAATTTCATTGTTGTTATCACCAACCAACACACGATCATTTGTAAGAGATGATAATGAATGAGAATCTTCATGTCGATTCTATAAAATTAAAATTTTTTGCATAAAATTAAAGAAAACAATTAAAATATAAACTTTACGTGTAATAAACCGGGATCTAATGATTGTGACCCACTGTCCCTGACTGGTGATGGTGACATTCTGTTACCATTCGATGAAATCTCCACATGTGACAATCGGGACCTCAGATCATGATTGATAATACTTAAATGTTCCACCAACGCCTTTAGATTACCAACTTCTCCCTTCAAATCTGTGATAGTGTTATCAGATTCACGTAATTTCTTCATTAAATCCGCATATTTTTCACTGTCTACATGATTACTCGCCTGTGCGTTTGTTTTTGTTTGTGATTTTACATTCTGATTCACATCTCGTGTAGGAGATTGTTTTTGTTTGGTTGCCGTTGATGATTTCTCATCATCAGAGGCAACCTGTGCGTAATCATCATCAGAAGCTACAGAATCATAGAGAGGATCTTCATCTGTCAGTTCAGAAGATGTTCGGGCTTTAGCTCTGCGTTGAACATCGTCTAAAATGTCGCGGACGAGTGCTTTCAATTCAGGTGTGGCGAAACGCGCGAGTTTTTGGCGTGATTGATTGCGTGTGGTTGAAAATGCGTGGTTTACAGGCAGAAATGGCACGACAGGGAGGTCGATTGTGTCTGAGCTACCCAACCATGCTAAAAAGACGCCATTTTGTTTTTTTAAATTAAATTTATATAAAATGGCGCGCGGTATGAGGAAAAAACTTACTTAAACTCCTTGTTAGCATAATATAATCGAATAATATTAATTTTATTAGTTAGTTATGATAAAATTAAAGTTATTTACTTACAAGCTTCAGTTTCACGTCGATCCACTTCATCAGAAACATCTTTGACAAGTTCTTCAAATATATTATTCGGAAGCTAGGTAATAAATGTGTTTTTATCATGTTTACCACAGTTTTTGTTGTGTTGTGTAACTTACCTTTCTCAATTTCTCTGATGCTGACGGTGATGATTGCGTCAACACTTTTGGAACCAAAAAGTGCACGCCATTTTGATGCTCGGGCTTCCGCATGCATAAAAACTGATAAAACTTATCGGTGACCTCGTATTGCGCCTCCACCAAACGATTCAACACATTTGTATTAATTCCTTGCCTTTAAAAACGTCAAAAACACAAATATTATCAATTTAAAAACATTTTTTTAAGGAAAAAGATAAAAAATACCTAGCATAATGTATAGGTGTATTCCCACTGGCATCCGGATAAGTTGGATCAGCACCATAAGTAATCAACAATTCACATTGACTGATCTGATTCGCTTTCACCGCGGCATGCAAAGGAGTAGAACCTTTTTCATCATGAAAATAATTAGGATCTGCTCCTTGTACTAACAACTTCAATGACATAATAACATTACTACTGCGTACACTTGCATGCAGTTGTTTCCCAAGTTCATTTTCCATGCATAATGTGTCATCTCGCAATGGACGTTGGAGAAATTCGTTGTGTTGATGTTTTGCGCGAATAAATTTCGCTTTATCTCTATATAAATTTATGATATTAATAGATTAGTGTTGTTTTTTGATGATATTTAATCTTACTCTAATGAATCATTTGGTTGTGCCTTTCGCTTGCTCAATTTTGAGTCTTTATCCAATGCGTACTCCCAAATACTATTCGCACCTCCAGTGTTTAATGCATGCACCATCTAAAGTCAAATATATTTGAATAAAATCCCCAAATATAACAAAATTTCAATATAAATAATTATATGGCAAATAAATAGAATAAAATATTACTCACAGCTAATAATGATGCTGGCCACATGCTCTTAAGTGACTTAACTATAGAAATGTGTCGACCAAGACTTCTGTGGGTGTTGCAGCACTGCACACACAGTAGAATACCACGGTTTATACTCGCCCATGTTGGATCTAATAAATAAAAACACGTAAAATTAAATATTTTCATAAATAAGCCCTAAGTCAACATGGACAACACTTAAGTCTACTTAAGTATTAGATAGTCAAGTGTATTAACTCACCTGTTGCACCGCAATCGGCGCAAACATCCGTGTTTAGACGCGATTTACTCTTGGACATGTCTGGGCGTGTTCACTCTACACAATCAAATAAATGTTACAGGCTGCTAGACGCTTGTTCCGTTAATTAGAATGTCGCGAATCTAGGAGGAATTAATTGACGTCGAACGAGTGTGCGTCCATTTTGTGAGTCAGGCTAAAAACAGTGCGGATGTGTATTGAAAGTTGCCTATGTTAAACTACTAAAAATGAAATAAATACTATGTTAGTTTATTGTAGAGATAGTTTTGTTTAGTATTATTATTATTATTACAACTTTACACGTTATGTTTATCATACAACACATGTAGAGTTGTAAATATTGATATAATATAGTTGTAAAATGTGTTTATGATGTTGCATACGTTAAATGTGTGATTTTAACTTTTATTTTTTAATAGGTTGTTTAATTTTAATTTAAATGCATTAATTTCATATTAAAATACGCTTTAAAAGCCTTGAACTTAAATGTCATGCATCAATTGACTGTTACCTTTTACCATATTACAGAATTATTGATTATTGGTTAACAAACGCACTCATCATCGTCAGTAATCGTGGGCGAATCTTTATTGCAATAATAAGTTGATTTCTCGTTAAAGTCTTTCAAGGTAATGTTACTCAGTAACATATATTACGTATGAATGATTACATTCAGAAATGGCCAATCAAATAACCGCATAATTTATCATTTCTATAATTTTTATAAAATAGGCAACCAAAGTTGTAAATCTAAACACCTAACGTGTATATTTGGTCACATATTTAATAAAAACTTAATTTAATTCTATTTTTATTGATTTAAAAGTATTACTAAGTATTTAACGACATTTTACTTTTACTTTTATTGAAAATGTTTATGAATGAGCAGTGATGATCGGCAAAAGTCACCAAAACACGAAATTAACTCTCATCTCCAGCTTAAACTCGTAAACGCTAACCTTTAACTTTGATTGAGCTTCGAAACTCGCAGCGCAAGTTATGCAAACATATTTAGTTGATTATTTTTCTCAGCGTGGCTTATAATGTATGCGAAGATGATGGTTCAATTAGATATTAGATGACTCTTGTTTTTTTGTTTCTCTCTGCGTGTTTATTCTTGTATTCAGAAGAAATGTTGGAGAAACAAAGTTAATTATCATCATCCGTGGATAAAATATGACATTTCAAAGTTTATGCAAATTTTTCAAACTCAAATCGCCGTAGGTGGTCAAAAAAAACGTCAAGAAATCGCATCAAAGTTCATAATTTTCATGTGAATATTAATTTATGGCCTATTGTTGCAGAGGTTAAGTGCGGTTGTGTAATTTATTGTAATAAATGTCAATTTGGGTGACAGTTGTATAAACAATTACAAAGATTTTAAGAAAAATGTAAAAATAAATGAAAATTTTGACAGGTTAAGTAAGGTTATGTAATTTTACACGTCACTTTGTATTCTACATAACATTTTATGCCATAGATGGCGCTGCACGTTCAATTATCACAATTTACAGTTTCCTACCAAATAAAAACACAAAACAATGTGTGTTTATCGTGTAGATTATAACTTTAGCTCATTAGCAACTTCAGCGCGCTTAATTTGCTTAATTCTCCTTATACAGCAAATGTTTCGGTCGTCGGCGAGTGTGTTAATTATCCCAGCAATAGAGATAAGGCTGTAACGACAAGAAAAACAATAAATTACCAACAAAAACTTTAATTAGCGACTATTTGTTGATTCTTTGTTCTGAATCTAAGCATAAACAAATTAAAATTACAAAAAACAGTGTCAATTGATATTTTCAATTGATTTATGCATAGAAATCAATAAATTACTGTTTTATAATCAATCAGGCTTTAAACTTTTACTAAAAATGTTATTAATGAGTTGTTTTGTTGGGATTCAGTAAAATATGTAATCCTACAGCTACTAAATAATTTTTTTCTATAAATTATTTATGTCATCAATGTAAAAGATGTGTTCATTAACGCAAACAAGCAAAAACTCATGTAAGATGAATAAATTTGAGTCATAAATCACGCGAAAGATAAAATCAATTAAATTTATTTATTTATTGATTTCTACGTAAAATTCTGTGACTTTTTGCTTCCGATTTGTACTTGAATAAATTTTTATTGTCTCGGTTTTCTTCGCATGCAGTGTGAACGGTGTGAAGTTGTTTTCGATTTCTTCTTTCACCATCATATCATGCCAGGCAATGTTTTGCTGGCTGCGTTAACGCGAAGAATGCAAATCAATTCCCATAAGCGATATAATGACTACATTATTAGAGCAGCAGGCAAGTTAACAACGAAAAAAAACGGCGAGAAAACGGCGAAACGAAACAAAAACGTAGAACAAAGTTTCACTTTGTATCAAGAACACTTAACAACCACTTCTTTTCAAAATTATTTTACAATAAATACATTTTATTACTATTCCATAATAAATTCTGATTATTTTTGAGTGGAGGAATGGTATTAACAAGGAAATTTGTTTGTTACTACAGGAAGTCTTTCTATATTTTCAATATGCAGTAAAATGAAACCAAACGAAGTCAAAATTGCACTCAAACTCAAGAGTTGAGACTTAGACTTTAACTGAAAGCATATGTTAGTGTATAATTATAAGTGTGTACTGCGCACCTGCATCTACAAGTATTTGCATTATTATCCAACCAAGATTCGAGATTATAAATGCAAGTATTTCGATTTTTTAATTGGCACGACCCTAATTTACGTGTTGCACTATAAATTTACTTTGTACATTTACTTAACTTCCTTTATCTTCAAAAATAAGCAATAAAAATGTAATTTATTGCAATAAATATCAATTTTTATGATAATAGTATGAATAATTAGTAGTATTTCAAGAAAAATACACAAAAAAACAAAAATGTTGATAGGTTAACTTAGGTTATGTAATTTTATACGTCATTTTGCATTTTACTTAACATTTTATACGATAGATGGCGCTGCGTGTTCAATAACTGCAATTTGCAGTTTTCTACTAAGTAAAAACGCGGTTATGTAATTTACGGTCAAAATAAAGTCAAAACCCTTCAAAAAATTACATAACTTGTCAAATTTTTATGAAGTAGCGCCATCTGTTACCCTTTCAAATCACAAAAGTTACAAAATCATGATAATAATAATATGTACTTGTATTATAATTATCTCCGCCTTTGTAGACACTATTCCTATTATTATTATTATTATTGCATAACTAATACGATTATTAGTACCTACTTGAATTTGTAAATGTAATTGTAAAAGTAAATTGCTTTTACGCATATGATTGATTGCCCATTGACAATCTGCAATTATCATCGTGTACGACGCAATAAAAATAAGATTAAGTGCGGATTATAGACACGCCGCACAAAAAGAAATGCCATACAGATTCAAAATTGATTTTGTTTCTGATTTTGCGTAACAGAAAATAATACTCAAGATTTGAATGTTGTGTGTTTATTGCTTAAAAATCAAAAATATGTCCGCTGTTTGCATTTATATTAATATTTTACTTTTACTATTTTCTTGCGCTGGGAATAAGAGCACAGAAAGTTGTGCGTTGCCTGCAGACCAAGTGGTATTATTGCAAAATTCATATTATTCATGAATCGATATATTATTATTATTAAAAGTGTCATAGGGTCATATATTATTCACTATAGTGTATAAAGTATTGTATTGTGTGTATCTAAAGCGATTTATGAAGAAATTAACCAAAAAAATCACTTAACCTATAAATTACGAAACATTTGATGAAATTTTTCACTTTTTTCACTTTTTACCAAAAATTTACTTTCATTTCATATTAATACGCAACCAATTAAAACTAAAAAAAATTACCTTATTCATAATGAAGTTTTGTTTCCAAAAGTCAAAGTTCCAAGAGTTATTATAAAAGACAGTCTAATAATTTTAATTATTATTACATTTGTGGGAACCCTCGAAAGCGAAAAAAACCATCTTCTCTGAATGAACGACATTCGCATTCATGTTGTGCGTCTGCTTGCAGTATTACATGATAATTGCTTAATGATGCATTAATATAATGATTTAAGCTTTTGAACGCTTTGAACTTTATATGATTCATTGTGTTAACTGTTAACATAACCTCACATCACGTCTAACCTCGCGTCTCGTTAGTCGCTGCAGTGACTTTTACTTTCGTCACATGTCACACCGGTGATAATTCCGTTCCGTGATGATCGCTTTGTTGAATCAAGATAGAAAACGTTGTGTGACTTTGTTGTTTTCTGATGCAACAAAAAGAAATTCCTGTGTCGTCAACTGCGCCATCAAAATCAATCGCAAAAAACTGACAGAGCACAAATGACGACTTTATTGCTAATTTATATTTTCTAGTTACTCTCGGGTTTTTGCTCATTTATTGCATCATTTTATTCCAGTAGCGCTGGATTTCTATTGTGGAAAATGTTGCAGTTGTAAATTGTTGTCGACGAGTTAATTTAGCTTCGACAATTGTTGATTGACATTGATTTCTTTATAATGAGCCATAGTTATAATCTATATGAGTTTTTGGTAGAAAATGTTAAGTAAAATGATAATTGCCTTAAAAAATTACATAACCCTACTTAACCTAACAAAATTTTTATATAAATTTTAAAATTTTTAATTTTTTTTATAATAAAGTGATAGTGATATACTTGAAGGCGTTCGTGATCACTTCCAATGACCATGATACGAATAACAAAACCGATTTACATGACTTAAGTCACTTCACTACTACTTCACTTCACTAAGTAGTTATTAATTTTTAATTACACTCGAAAACGCATTTAGCACAATACTCCATTCGATTATTCATTGTCGAATGCATTGATTGTTTCCACTTAAGTACACTTTTTACGGCGAATTGAAATTGAAAATTAAAAAGTGCGTAGGTTACCGGTGTGAAAACATGACTTAATGCGCACATGCGTCAATACAATTATGCTAACCACGGGTAAACTTGGCATTCACTTTCAACTCGAATTTCGATTTCAGCCAATTCAAGCCTTTCACGCACCCAGGCAGTAATTAAAATTCGTAATTAGGCAATTTTATGGAGTATAAAGCATGTGGAACAAGTTCAACGCGTGTTTTTCGGCGGTTTACAGTCACAACAATATGATTTTACGACTTTATTACTCGCTATTAATTTAATTATGTCTATTGTTTATGGTTTTAATCGTTTTTCAATGAGTGTTATGAAATTTACAACTTAATATCAAAGTTTAAGTAACCTAACCTATATTTAGAAATGACAATCAATCTATGATTTCTTGGAATATATGATTGGTATAGGCGTATCACAAGTACCGATATTGCGATATAATGCAAGATCAACAGTAGCCGGCAGTCAGGACGTCAATTTTATTCACAAAACACACATAATATGTCAAAATGTCAACACAAGGAAAACCCACCCTGTTCCTATTACTCATAAATGCATTCTATATGACACTATGACATCACATACTTACCTATACTTAAGTAGTGCAATTTATGAACTTTATTTCTACTTACTTACAAAATGTCGCATATTTTACACACCTAAATGTCAGTGAATTACTTAAATCTGAAAATATGATTATAATGATTACACCATACTTACTTAAGCAGATATTAAGTTGACTTAAGTTAAGTCAAGTCATCAGAAGTTGGAAGCGTTGGAAGCGGTAATAAATGTCATAGAAAATGACATAATAATCAAATTCTAAGCGGTTGAAATTTTGTTGTGACCGTCAACTTCAAAAACTTGTTGTAAAACTAAAAAGTAAACCCATATTACTTTCTACAATGTATAAAGTGGTATAATGAATGTATACTTACCATGTATGCGTGCATTAATGTGTATATCACGTGCACAAGTCGCACATGCGCCTGACGAAGACTCCGTAAAAAGAAAAGGAAAGAAATCGAGACGTTTCTGACCGAGACAAGTCACATGCCGACAGAAGTCGCGAAGCAAGAGACAGACGCGTTACTTAAACCTAACCTAACCTAACTTATTAATTTAGTGTTAAATGTGTGCAAAATGTGTAGTGTTTTGTTTATTTAATTTTTGGAAGAGGATAAAGGATAAATAAACAATATGAATGCAAGTGTAGTGTCCGGTAAGTCCGATTTTCTTCTTTTTTAACTTTTTAATTTATTAATGTACGTGCACTGAGTTGAGTTGCGTGCATCGTGTTTAATCATTAAAAAGTAAAAAGTAAACGCGCATCGATTCGAAACCGGTAGAATGGGTGGAGGAATGAATGGTCGCTGGTTCGGTAGATGAACGAAAAGAAGAGTCGCTCATGCGCGAAGAAGTGTGTCTGCCGTGTCTGCATTCCGCGCGCAGCACGCGCGTGCGCATAGATAGAATTTTTAAACATTATTTTGTAGGTTAATACCTAATTTCTCGTAGACATAATTTCACTCAACAGAATCAGCAGAAATCGTAATTGCAAATTATAACATAAAATAAAGTAGTATTTGAGTAGGATACAAATTAGGTTAGGATTTTATAATGTAGGTTAGTAATGTGTTGATTTTTGGTGTAAATCTACTAGAATCATTTTTAATGATTCTTCACTTTCACTCCGGACCAGAGACTGGAGTCTCGCTGGTCATTCCGGCTTGTTAATTAATACGAGAACCGCGTGTCGGTTGATTTAGCAAGTGACACTTGTCACAACAAGTGGTCGTTGTGAATTTATGCGCCGATGCCTTTTTATTTGCATATATACGAAGATTCAACACTTGAGATTCGGAATATTCAGTTAATAAATATTGTTCTACTTGATGTCGCCACATTATTGGTATTTCCGCTTTATAAATATTAATTCTTTAACTTACATTGCAAACATTTTTTTTTAAATATGTTTCTCTTTAGAAGTACTAGGAGGAAACTATTTTGCTTCTTTTCCCGATTCTAATAATTTACGTCTTAGAAAAGTCTTGATTTACTTACCACTACTGTCAAAGATAAAGTCGGAAATCGCGCGTTAATGTTCATAACATAATAAACGGTAGTAAAGCAACTAAACTTATACAAAACTAAAGTATGCAAAACGAGTTGAAAGAAAAAGAACACAAGCGAAAGAAAACGCTGTACACGGCTACGCTGTACGCATGGTTAGTTACATGAATTAATAAGAACTTTCGCTATAGTTTAAAATAGTTATAAACTAATTTACGTACTTCTATTAGCGTACACGATACACTCTTTATAAACGGGTTTTAATTAGAGTGCGTTTGCGTGGAATGCAAATACAAGAGAATTTTAAAACGTTAATTTTGCAGATTAATCTAGGCACCAACGCTTTCTTGCTTGTGTTCGTATAGTGTTGTACGCGAGAATGACTCAAATGCAGCGTGCGACGTGCAGTCACACTCACCCCACAGCCGTTGCTATTGGCAACCGACTGAGTTACCATAGTAACACCAAACAAACTTCCAACTGCTTAGTCATCACGCGCAAAATAAAACTAGATAAGAACGTCTACTTTATTGTGTTCTCTAGAGAACTGTGCACGAGAGTGAGACAAATACAATGCGCGACGTAAAATCTCACTCACCCCACACCCGTTGCTACTGGCAACCAACTACGTTACCATAACAACACCAAACAAACTTGAAACTTCTTACTCATCACTCCACTGAAACACTCACAAACTGCATCAGAAACTCACCGACAATTATTCTAAACACACGCAATTTAACACATATAAAACGTGTCGGTGGGTAATTCATTATAAAATAAATATTGTTTCATTATTGAATTTCCTGTAGTCCGTATATAATTTAGCGTCACGTTTTAATTTCGTCGGAATATACGAGGTCGATTAATTTGCGCCATTTAAGCAGAAACACGCGTGTTGTCTTAATTGCGTATTGTCTGCGGAAAGCTTTCCAATTTTCTTCCTTTTGTTGCAATTTGTTCTGCGAATAAATTTCTATCACATTGTTTGCCACAATATTCAATTAATTATATTCCCCTATATGTATATTAAGTTGCATACCTAACCATTATCAAACATAACCATAAACACTCCAAGAAAAAAAAAAGGTGCGCGACATATTTGCTGCGATATCTAGATCAGTGTAGGTTGTAGGTTAGGTGAGTATTAACCTTCGACCGATACTAATCGATTAAATCAAATGATTCATCACAATAATTCGGACACCGAACACATTCTAATCGCGATGATGAAAGCAAAGGTCAGTTACCATTGTCTATAACTCGCAATTTGTTCACATAAAAAATTTTTTACGTTTTATTCGATGCATTGTGCAACCAATATTCTAATATCATTTATCTATCACACATATCCAGCTGAAGTGAAGGTGGTGCGGTGTTGTCTGTCGCAATGTGGTTAATGTAATCACAACGTTAATCATGACAGTAATAAATATAAACGCGGCGTATTTGGGCCGCGCTCACCGCACGCAATTCATTTCGGTAAAAAGATAAAATATTTTTAGAAAGCGGCGAGCGAGGGCGCTGCTGAACACAAATTTTTCTGTTTTGTATTAAATGTCCGCATTAACGAGGCCTTAAAAGTCGTTTAATATCTATTTAAGTATTTAGGCGGACCTCTCGTGCAAAACAATGGAATGTCGTCGTATGCATAATAAAATATTCGCCATTGTTGGTTGTTTTTTTATTATGTCTGCTGTTTGTGTTTCTGTGGATTTAATTCTGTCAAAAAATGTTAATGGGCTTTTATTTCCTTATCTGACAAATTAGTAACTGTTATTGTCACTACGTGCAAATATTTACGGGAGTTGAATTGGTTGCAGAGCTTTTAAAGGTGTTTAACCTCAAAATTTTTGAGAAAAACATCAATAACTCAGAAAGTATCAAAGATAGAGTGATGATTTTTTGAAAAATAGTATTTTGGTGACTATATTATATATAAATATGAAGGTTTCATACGTTTTATAAGGTTTTAACCTCAAAATTTTTGAAAAATCTTGAATAACTTCAAAACAGTTAAAGATAGAGTTGAAATTCTTTGAAATATCTCATTCTGGTGACTATACAATATGAATATGAAGGCGACAACGGAGTTTTGATTGCATGTGGGACTTAATTCCGGCTTTAGTTTCCTTATTATGCGCACGGGGGCAGGGCACGCCATTTAAAACGCAGTTTTACGTAATCGTAAGTAATGTAATGAAAACCGACGCGCGATATCTCCGCGCGCCACACTCGGCGAAATGCAAACGAGTACACCTCACTTTCGTGCGTTTTGTGCTCACTTCGCAAAATGACAAGAAATGAGAAATTGTCCGACAAGCAACGAAAATACAAAAAAGCCGAGCAGGAATATCTAACACATTGTTCTCACCGGAAGCACAATTAAAAACAATTCACTTAAAATACGCTCAACTATATACGTATGTAAATTAAATTTTTAATTACGATAATTAATCACAGAGTCATTATTCTACGGAATTTAATTATTACGCTTGCGTCAATTATAAAATTATGTAAGGCACGAGTTGAATCTCTTTTCAAAAAATTATTTTTTGTGAATGAAAAATAAATATTTTTTATATCAATTAATAAGTTAATTAACCGGATATTGGCAATGGTGATTTGTTACCACTGTTTCTAGTGGAATAATTAATAGTTAATTTGGTCATTTATGCAAATTATTTTAAACTAAATATGGATAGTTGGATAGTGTGAATTATTTGATGATTGCGTAATAATCTTAATAATCGTTTTATTATTTGCAGGAGATTAGACATGTCTTGTCACACTAGAATGAAGAGAATTAATTCAGGTAAGTGTATATATGGTTGCATAACTTACAAAAAAGACATAACCACGTTTTAAATTAAATTATGTAGAATGTGACTTAAAATAGAATGCGTTTGTGAGCGAAACCAAAAATAATCTGATTAAATATTAGTATTGAAGGGTTTATAGCAGAGTGATGACTATGAAGTCTCAAGTTTGTTTGATGTTACTATGGTAACGTGGTTGGTTGCTAATAGCAACGGGTGTGGAGGGAGGAGGGTGACTACATGTTGCACGCTGCACTCGTTTCGTTCTCGCGTATAGTTCTGTTGAAAACACAAAGTTTTATCTGTAAAATTTGCGCGTGATGACTAAGCAGCTACAAGTTTGTTTGGTGTTACTATGGTAACCCAGTCGGTTGCTAATAGCAACGGGTGTGGGGTGAGTGTGAGTGCATATCGCGCGCTGCATATTCCCCACTCTCGTGCATCGTTCTATGGAAAACACAAATACAGAATCGTTTCTATAAAGTTTCATCCGTAAAATTTGAGCGTGATGACTAAGCAGCTACAAGTTTGTTTGCTGTTACTATAGTAACCCCGTCGGTTGCTAATAGCAACGGGTGTGGGGTGATTGTAGGTGCAAGTCGCACGCTGAATCACGCTGCTCATCACTCCACAAATATCTCTCCTAAAACAACTCTAAAAACTACCCACAATATTTTAAACTTACATAATTTTAATTACAACCTTGTCACTGCTCGCAATATATCCTTAAATCGTATCAAAACGCGTTTACTTTACCTTTCACGCATCGAAGGTCACGCCGATCATGCGAAAATCATGAGAAAATGAAGAAATTACCACAATTCATGAATTTGTTTCGTATGTGATCGCGATTGTATCCATGGCAACAGAGTGGACATTTTCGCATTCCTGACAAGGCAATACATAATTTAGTTCTATGTAAGTACACGTCCTCTACTCTACTCTTGTGGAATTTGTATATTTACATACAAGTTCTGTATATGTGTGTGTATGAATGTGTGTGGTTGCAAATATTGCACTGCGGCGAGTCGTTGGCGGACGCGATTAAATTATTTCGTCACTTGAGAATTGGTCCGAAACAACTTTTACTGACAATAAACGAGCACATTATCACACGCAGCACGATCACACAGCTCTCGAATGCGTCGACTTGTGTGAGTGAGATTTATTTGGATTTATTTCTGACTGCTGCGGTCTGGGACGATTAATTGTTGCTCAATTTAGGTTTATTATGTCTCTATTACAATCACACATCAAAAATTATTTGTATTTATTATTATCCAGTGTAAAATCACATTTTTTTTTTTCATATTTTTCTATATAAATATGAAAAATATAAAGAATAATTTATTTTTATTAATGTAGATGGCGTTAGTGTCACTTTCATCAACGTCAAAACGTGAAATCAATTTATTATGCTTTTATTAAGTTATAATCTAGTGTTGCACAATATCCAGGTGAGTTACAATGCAGAAAAAAATGAAGTTTTAATCAATTTCGTTTCAGCCGCCATGTTTGATTTAATATCTTTCACTAGATTTACGAGTTTGATGAATGTGATTTCCGCTCGTCAAAAGTCGAAACCGTGACACTGCGATCGTAAACACATGATTTATTCATGTTCTAGGCCATTTTTGATTTGATCCGATCGAAAAATCAAAGGTAGATTTTTTATTACGATTTTTTTTTAGTTTATATTGAATGTATTAGATTGAATTGAAAGCGAAGCATTCCAAGATTAATCATTGTGATAGACGTTCATTCAACATTAATTACAAGGCGTATTACCATCTTGTTTGAGTTCAGTGTAACAAGAGAACAGAAGCTTTGGGAGTGATTGATATGTCTGGATATTAATGGAATCGTTAAAATGTAAAAACGAAAGTAAATATTTTGGTTTTTGTGGGGAGTACGGGAGAGTGCGGTGAGTTTGGTGCTTGATTACTCATTTGTTTATAATCGTAGAGTATTGAATGTGGTATGGTTGGAAAGGGAATTTAAAGGGGAATAATTATGCGAAAGGATTAATTTGTAGGTTTGTTAGTTTTTATTTTATAACAGAAAAAGTAAAGTTTTGATTTTTTTGAGATTTTTTACCAAAATTAGGAGAGAAAATTGTTTATAACTTTTAAACTAAAAGAGATACAACAATTTTTTTATGTTAACGGATAGATCTCGCCAAAATCTATAAGGTTACATATTTTAAATTTAATATAAACTAATAACTTAATAGTTATTAACAAAAAACCTCAAAAAATTGGAGTAAAATTCGTAATTTTGATATTTTTTGTTCTTTTCAAAGTGTTTTTGATAAATGTCCAGTAATTAGAATAAATTATAAGTTCAAGGTTTTCATATAAACTGCTACAAAAGCAAAAAATGCTATATAATATAAATAAAAAGAAGTTTAAGGTAAAAGTTCAAGCTCCCACATTAAATCATTAAATCTCTCATTTTTTCCACTTTTTATTTTCGCAAAATAGTCGAAATAGTTTCCCATGATTCCGCAAACTTCAAAATCTAAATCAAAGCGAAAGAAATTTCGTCCTGTTTGTGTAATAATTCATCACGTCAAATGGAGACGTAATGTTTTTTGCTCTCGTTTTCGAGCGCCTTCGAATTTACCGCACATTAGACGTGCAATTACAATCGAATAAAATTCGTTGAATCTGATATATGTAGACGAAAAAAGCAGCCAAGTGAAACAATCAAAACACAATTCGGCAATGTGTGTGTCTGTGCGCGAAGAGAAAAAAAAAAGTTACATAAAGTCGCGCGGCGGCGCGCAGGCAAATAACAAATAAGCAAAAGCTAAAATATAAGTATAAAGTAAGAGTCGTAAGCCTTGGATTTCTAAGCGCGTTATGTGCGCATGCGGCATGCGCTCAGACATAAAGTCATTTTATTCTCACACTGCGATGAAATCCCATGGATGATTCCGAAGACGTAAAAGAAGACATGCGTATTCATTACTTGTATTATAAACTAAAAACATAAATAATTAAAAATCATCAATAAATGGCGCTAGATCATAAAAATAACGAAAATTATGAAAATTTTTATGATTTTGGTTGTTTTTATGTGTTTTAAGCACAAAAATGACTTTCTATGATCATCTGCAAGTGACTGCAAGGCTTTAGCATGCTTTGCATTTTCTCAATCACGTGAAGTACACTCAGCCACACACCTACCACCATCGGCAAGGCAACGCGTTCTCTCACTCCGCGCGCCGTCGAAGAAAAGAAACCCAATTCTCTTCGCCAGAACCAGCTGAGCTCTCGACGCGTGCGTACGCGACGGTTTCGGTTTCGTTCAAGTGCGCGCGCAGCTTAACTCACTCACCGCAAGTGCGCAAAAATCACCATCACGTTATAATCTCTCAGTGTGAATATTTCTAATGCGGATAACAAAATGTGAAAACAAGTGCACAGCTCGGATTAATTCGATTTTTATTATTATGGATGAAGACGACGTGTCCGATCACTGTAAGTTAATTTATTTATTTATTTATTTATAAATATGTATTTATTTATTTATTAAGGATGTATTAATGGAAAGTTACCTAATTTGTTTATTGTCGTGTGTTGTGTGTGTGTGTTGAACTTGTACGATGGTAACTTTCGAGGTTTTGTGCGCCGCGTCGAGAGTTTCTAAGTCAAAGAGCTTAAGTATGCGGCGGCGCTCCACCTGCGAGCTAGATAGTGTGTTGACGAAATAAATTTACATTCCACATCGATGATTGATTTCAAAGTGTCGGCATGTGACTATAATTCCAATTGCAATGAGGTGCGCTCAAGATTTCTCCAATTTTTGAGACGTTTTTAGTGTTTTACACAAAAGTTATTAACAAAAACAACATTTTTATTGGTAGTATTTATAGAACTTTTAAAACTCTATCGATAAGTGAAAAGTTTATAACTTTATCTTTATTAGTTTAAAAAATATTCATTATTTTAGTTCCAGATTTTTGTTAAAAAAATGGGAAAAAGTTAGTATTTCACTTTTTTATCAAAATAATTAGTAATATCATAAATAAATAAAAATACAACAATATAAAATTAAGCTCCTTGAAATTATCTTTCTAATGACGTATAACACAACATTGTGTGATTGTTATTAACAAAGTTACAATGTTTTGAAAAATCACATTTTTGATGAAAATATTTTGCATTTTTGTCGAATTTTCACCAAGTTTTCTTCTAATAAAACAAAAACCATAACAGTTAACATCAAAAACTCTTTTTTAAGTGATAGTCCTTATAATGTTCTACATCTTTACAAAAAATCACATCTCTATCTCTTATAGTTTCCGAGTTATATTGATATATGTGTACGCCGACAAAAATTACATTTTCACTTTCACTCCGAACTCTCCGCTGCAAAACCGCTGGCCACGACTTAATAAGCGGTTTTCGTCGATTCTTCTATTTATAGATCGAACGCTTTTTAATTTGCGCACTGCGCTTCTTCGCCATCAGCAACAATTACGACTTGGATCATAATAAATCATTCATTTAGATATATACACTTTACATAATACCACAAAACACGTGTTGTGTAATCCACAGCAATTAAATTGATATTTTAACGAAATAAATCATTCAAAATTGTCTCAATCAATTTACAAGTGAGGTTAAGTTAGGTTAAGTCAGCTTAAATTACCACGAGGTGACCAGAGGTTAAATTTTTGCGAATCAAAGTGCTCAGAACGTAAATTGTTGATTTTGGTTGATTCTGGTTGCGTAAATGACCAGACGCGTGAAATTAAGTGATTTAAGTGTTAACTGGCTGCGTCCGAGGTGCGTGGGTAGTGATATTTTACATTTTTACAACTTTATATTACTTTCCTAGACAAGCGGAGATGAAATTATGACTTAATTGACTTCATGGAATTTCTACACAGAAAACTTGTTAATTATCAACATTTAGCGCTGAAATAACCGATATTTAACAAGTTTTACAATAAAAAATCAAAAGAATAAATTTAAAATTAAAATTAACACATTTCTGTTGAAGTGTGTGTTTAGTAAATATTTGTGTGGTTAGTGGAAGCACAATGAAGTTCAAATTTCTTTCAACTTTACTTTACACCTGGCGTTTATGTAAAAAGGTGAAATTAAGTATTCGGTATTTTATTTATAGTGCTTATTAAAACTTTCCGATTATTTGTATGAAGACAAGTCACGAGAAGAGGAGGTGTACATTGACGGTCGGTTCCGGCGACCTTTAAAAGTTACCATCTTGTCGTCATCATCTGCACGCTCACGTTGCGTAATCAACTCATACTTTTTTTTTGGAGTCGGAAGAGTTTCGTGTGTATGCTACGCGATAACTCCGGGAATAATTATCGGAGGATGTTGAATGATATATCATTTTATAGATAATTTAATTGGAAATAATATTGAAAAAAGATTTTGTTTGTATCTATTATAGTTTTTGTGTTATTTAAAAAAAAAGTGAAATAAGTTTTAATTTTTAAGTATAAACTTTAAACGCTTATAACTCGGAAACTATAAAAGATAGAAATTTGATTTTTACGTCAAAATATCCGTATTATAATTAACTATTAGTTATAGCTAATAAAAATTTATAAAACATAATCATTTGTTTATAATTAACAAAAAAACAACAAAAAAGCAAATTTTCTTCATTCAAATTTCAAAAGCTGTTCTTATAATTGATAATGTTTTTGTTATGAGAATAATCGTGCGACAACTTGATTCTTCCTACATGAGACCATTAGACCCAGCATTTGTTCGCCAAAGAAAGTAAACGCGATGAATGCGCGCGCGTCGAGTCGTCATCGCGACTAATACACAAATAAAAGTCGTATTTGTACTCGTAATATACTTTCTTTCAACTCGGTGCGCTAATATAGGTTAACTTATATAAGCATCCAATGCGCATGCGCACTTTCTACCTCTGCAACCCGCCATACTTACCTATGCCTAAATCACTTGCGTGTGGCCTAAATATATCATATTACTATAATTCAAAATCGATTATGGTTTATACCTCGTAATAAATTTAAAGGTTGTGACATATGACATGAAAGGACATGTTAATAATTCACTCACCCACTAGTAGACTGGACTAGAAGGTGTGTCAGGTATTTAATCGCCAAAAAACGTTGAGTAATTGCACGACCTTTAATAAATTCCTACTAATATTATAAATACGAAAGTCCTGATTGTTTGTTACACTTTCACACAAAAACTACTTAACCGATCATCATGAAAATTTGTACACATATTCTTAGTGGTCCCCGAATGGTTATAGGCTACTTTTTATTTAATAAAAAAATTATTTTATAAATAAAATAAAGAAATAGTTTAGCCAATAATACCTCTGCATCTGGCTATTTGACTACTTTAACGCCATCTAGCATTCCAGCAATGAAGCTCAAACCTAAGTACTATAGTACCATCACACTGTATTATCACACTGTATTACCGACAGCTACGTCAACATCAAATCCAATTGACTACACTATGGAGACTGTACACTATACTTCCATAGACTATACTTTCAGCCATTTTAAACTTCCCGCCATTCTACTTCATTGTTACTTCTTCTGTGACTACAGACGCGTACGGAAGCAACTTCATTATTTTAGATATTCACGAGCGATGCCGCGGGTTAAAGCTAGTCTTTAATAAATCTTTAAATTTTCAAAAAAAAAAATGCTTAGAAACCAATTTATTTACTAAACAAAATTTATCCCGTGTTATAAATATTATTTTGTGACTAAAATATAATTAATTTCCTGTCTCCTTCATTATTTTCACTCCCATTCACACTCCACCACTCCAAAACGTATATGTAACGTATGCAACCAAACATACACGACATAACCATCATAACACATCATAACCTTTGACATCTTGTCAAAATGAAATTAATTTTCATATCAATCTACATATTATTCTCCGTACAATCAAAAGTAATCATAATCGACCTCCCAAGACCCCCAAAAATCAACCCCAACATAAAACTTAACCTCTCCAGCACAGACGACCGTAAAATCTACCACGGTCCCCTCGCTAAAATCGACGACTATCCTTTCATGGTCTTTATCTACATCTACTACCCTCAAGAGAGGTCCTACTGTGGCGGCACCTACATCCACGCAAAATACGTCCTAAGCACCAACTTCGGCGCGCCCTCTGAAGCCCAGAAGATCAAACTCTGCATGGGTTATAGCACAATGCCCGACACGGGTCTCTGCCCCATCTTTCGCCTATCCTGGCGGGTTGTAATTGATGCGGATACCGACAACCGAATCTTCGTGTTGATCCTTGACAGACCCTTCATTCACACCCAAGCAATCTTCCCTATCCCTATACAACCCTTTGATATAGTTGATTATTACGGGGTGGAGTGTCAAGTACCCGGATGGGGTCAAGATACTTATTCACATAAACATAAATTTCAACTACGCGTTGGTGAGTTGATCATCAATGAGAATTTGACGACTGAATCAGAGATTTGGACTGATTCATTGGGGCATAATCTGTGTCCGGGTGATGAAGGAGGTCCTCTGATATGTTCGGGGGTTCTGGTTGGTATTGCCCATGGTGCGGAGTTTCCATTTTGTTGGAGTGGGATGGGTCGAGCAAAATTTGAGAATTTGATGGCGTTTCATAAGTTTCTGGAGAGGGTTACTGGTGGGGGTTATGATTCATCAAAATGGGCAACTCCTGAGATATGGTTAGAAGTGATAGCAGTTGGAATTGGTTATGTTGTAGTGCATTTTATTTTATAAGGTTTTATAAGAAAATATAAGTAATATAGAAATTGTGTTGAGTTTTGTTGACTTAAGTCGTCTTGGGTGATGACTTAAGTATGTTACAACATGCGCAACTTGATACATGAAAGTTTAGACGCTGTGCACGACTCCGGAACTGTTTCTTAACAGTATGACACAGATTATAGGTTATATTATAGTTCAGTAAAATATACATAGATGGCGTTAGTTGATACAAAAAATAATTTTTGTTATTTTTATGTGTTTTTTATGTAAATTTATGAACTCTTTCACTTTTATTCACATTCCTTTGGTAAAAGTAACAATCAAGTCAAAGTTTAAACTATTTATTAATTAATTAATGATGTTAATTAATTATTTGTTGTTTTCTTTGCTTTCCAGCGGATTAGCAGCGATGCCTTGCCATACAAGAATGAAATTACTGTTACGTGGTAAGTTACTTTCTTTTAATTAAATTTTAAATAAATTAGTTTAATTAATTTTAATTGATTTTGTTGAATTTAATTTAATTTAATTTAAAGTGAATTTTAAATGCTTTAGAGGAATTAATCGAATTTAAATCCGATACTAATCCAAATGTAATGATGGTTAATTCGTAAATACGTTTAACAATCGAATGCAAATGGCTGCAATGGCGGATTTAAGTGCACTTAGAACTATTAAACCATTAGGCTTATCGCGCGGCCGGTTTAATTTGCTCGTGGAGATAAATCACGCGAAATGAGCCGGCGTTATGTGCGGTAAACTGATTGCGGAGTTTTATGCGCTTTATTATGCGGTAATGCTATAAGCTACAACTAACTGAAAACTGATATAGCTTAAGTATGCTAGATGCTGATTTATATGCGTTTGTGTAGACTTTCTATTTATTAAAATAGTTTTTGTTACTTTGGACTTTTACCCTGAATTACACAAAAACTATACGTGCAATATTGATCAAATTTTGTATATAAGTAAATAATATATTTATCTATAACCATAGTTAATTTCAAGTCAATATCTTAATTGGTTTTAAGTTTATTGTTAATTAAAGAAAAAAAATGAATTTAAAAAAATATTTTTACGTTTTTTAGTGGAATTTATACAAAAACTACTTTTCTTTTCATTAGATTAATAACTAATTAGTGTAAAAATGTACGGAATTTGATACAGTATAAATTATAAGCCGTAATATTGCATAATATTATATAATAACATATTAATTACCTCTTATATTATGAATAACAACAAAAAACATAAAAAGTAACTTAACTTTACTTAAGTCATGATTAAAATCTCATATGATTAACAAAACAATTTTTCCTGTAGATTTTAAGACTAAAAACAAATAAATTTCTAAGCTACTCACAGCTAGATGGCGTTGCAACACGGAAGTAACCTGTATTTCATAAAATTAGCTGCGTTGTAACTGTTTTAAATTAGAAAATCGCAAAAAATCGTTTATGACTTAGCGGTGTTTGGTACTTAGCACTTAGCTTCTTTGTGGCATCCGCACCGCACAGACGTGGGACGTGGGAGAATCGAAGAAGCGACCGAACATCAGAGAGTGAAAGTAAGCACTTTGTAAGCGGCAGGTAATAGGGTAATAGCTATTCGGCTATTTATAAAATCGTGTAAACAGTATTCGTATAAACAGTTCAACTGTATAAATAATGCCGCAGTATTATTTCTTTTACACACTGTACTCTTAACTACTATTGTCATCAATTGTGCTTAGTAATAAGTACTTACAAAATGAGGAAGTTAGTTTTAACTAAAAATTTTGTTCTAAATTATTAAAATTTAATTTTATTGAATTAATTTGGTTAAATTTTAATTAATTTGGTGTTTCTTTTTCGTTTTTTGCTCATATTTCATCAGATTTTTAATTTTTCGCGATACAAATTTGAAATTAAACCAAATGACTATTCTTCCTTATATGGACGTGTTTCCTTTCTATTCTAATACGTTGTGTCGGCCATTAAAGCATTAAATTAGTTTACAGTATGTTTGAAATAAGAACAGAACATGCAGCGTCGAAAATTTTACAGCAGTGGATAATTAAATGGAAAATTAAGGTTTCAAATGAATTGTTATTGTTATTATATTATGTTATCATATTAAATGTTTCTCTAAGAGTTACCAAATGTCGTGTGGCAGGTATTTAGTGCATGACATCGTAAACGTTTCAAGAATTTTGTAATAAAACATAGGAATTGCTATGTTCGGTACTTAAACTTAAACTCAAAGCATTGTCAACATGAAGAATTAATTTTATTGCTTTTTTTGACGTGATAACGTCTTTAAAATCGTTTTAGTCGGGTGACATGTTCAGAAACTTGTCACGAGGCCTCTCGAGGTCGATCGCTATAACGAGAGAGAGACGGACCGATCTCCCGTCTCATCTCGAGCGCTGCCAGTCATTCCGTGAAACTTGTCACGCGGAATCCACACGAGCGGAGGCAGGCATAGCGTTCGAGTGAGTGGACCGATCTTCCGTCTCTCTCACTCTAGCGGCATACAAACGAATGGAGATTTTCTCGTGCGGTTAAGTTTTCGTTGAATGTTTAACAGTGACACAAAATGTGAAGTGCAAGTGAAGTGTTACAACAATTGCAACAAAAAAAAACTTATATCACCAATAAGACGTTATCACGTAAACATCTCGATCGTAAACCTACTTTACAAACAACCATTTTTTTCGGTGTTTTTCTGTACAAATTTAGAGTTTTTTTGAAAAATATTAAAAACTAGCTGTTGCCCGCGACTTCGTTCCGGCAGTGTTTAATAAAAATGTAATTCGTTTTTACTCTCTTGTTCTAGACATACTCGTAGTAAGAATCAATTCTATCAATAAGATTAGCAATTTTAATTTATAGAAATTAATTATATAAAGTTTTGTCAATAATGCACTTCAGTGCGCCATCTCGAATTCAACTATTTAACTATAACTATGATTGAATTTCAATGTCAAATTTTATTCTATAGAAAAGAGCTGTTTTGAGGATTTTCCCGGCAATTATTCGAATTTTTCTCACCTTTTAAACCTTCCCAGGACCTCCCCGAATAATTCAAGACCAAGATAAGATAAATCCGTTCAGCCGTTCTCGAGTTTTAGCGAGACTAACGAACAGCAATTCATTTTTATATATATAGAAATATCAACCTAGCTTAATATTATGGTTAATACTTAAAAAAGTCGAATGCAAAAGAAAATTTGGTATTAAAATCATTTCTATTACTATGTTCGATACTTGTACTGCAACTCAAAGCATTGTCCACCGGAAGAATCTTTCTTCTAACCTCTTTATTTTTGTTTACCTGATGAGATACTTTCAAAATGTTTCTCTTTAACTATTAACTAGGTAATTTATGATCCGCCATCTTGTATTTAAATTAGACCTTTGTCAATACCGATACCACAATTGTATCTCTCAACTTGCGAAATAACGATGGGAAACTTTTCCCTGAAAACACACACCCGACGAGAGGTTATGTTATCTCTCGATTGTTTTTCACACCCGTCGCATCGCTATTGTTGTTAATGTTTTTGCAATATCAACATCTGCATGTGTTCTAAAACAGGTTATAAACTCGTAAACCAGTAAAGTAACATCCATCAGTCTATCAACAATCAGAAAACTTGAAATTGAATATAAATTTGAATATAAATCTTGTTTTCACTTTTTAATGAGCATCACCAAAATTAGAATATGCTTAGTATTGTCTAACTGGGTCAGAAATGTAAACAAGTTTTTAGGTTATTGATTATCAGATGATAGAATTTTACGATGCATGTCCTTGATATAGTTTTAAAATGTTAAAAATGTAAAAACGATGAGAAATCAATGTTAATTGATTAATTAAATGACTAATTAACTATAAATTGATGTAAATTCATTGAATGCTTACGATTTACAACTATTACAAGTAATTAAAAGCGTGACATTTAATGACTCATACATTCCGTAATACAAGTTGTAAATTTGGTTGCATACATTAACTAGTCTCTTAAACCTAACCTTTTTGTTTTTTTGTTGTTTTTAGGTCTTCTATGGTTGTTTATTTTGGAATACGGTTTCATGGTCACATCACTTGAACCAGGGGTAAGTCTAACATCATTTACATATGTTAATTACTCCTAATTATCATTAAAACACAGCAGAAGTTGACTATTCACATCCTAACTTAACTCCAAACTCGTCTTTGGTCATTGTTCACCATCGGAATAATGAATTTGTCCACGCGCAATTGTTTACAATTCATTTACATTTGTTTACTTCTTCCTCTCGTCCTACGCCAAACGGAAGGTGAGAGGTTGCGAGGTTATAACCGATGTCGCACTCGTTTCTATCGCGAATCGCATTGTTGTTGCTAATTCCGCGCTTAATTACCATTTGCGCGCGCGCGCAATTTGCGCGGCCGAAATTACAATCGCACGCAATTACGAATCCGACACGATTCAACAACAATTACCAACACTGTATTACCACAACAGCAATAGAAGAATGTCCTTGATTCAAACAACACAACATAAATTCATTTTTAATTTTTTTGCATTTTACAACTGAAATTGTCAATTTAAGTTGATTTCTAAATAGTCTAGCTATTGATTTGAATAAATGAATAATCAGCGTAAATGTACGCTTGCGTTACTCATGTCGTGTCTTACTTACTTGTAGTCGTACTTAAGTCAAGTCTTGCGATAAAGAGCACTTTTTCTTCTTGTTTGGTGCATATTTTGCCTTTCTAATCACTCGGGGCGCTTTTAATCCGCATACAAACTAATTGCACACTGACTGTAGGCTGCAGGCTACATTTTTAAGGTTATATTTGGTTAGGTTATAAAGAATGACACATCGTATTATGTAATGGCGTCGGTGTCAATTACAATAATTTCTTTTGGTCGCACATAATAAAATGATGACTAATAAAGAATATTTTATAGTTTTTAGACTTTGATAATCTTCCCGACACGAATTTCTCATGCGTGGGGAAGGTCATAGGCGGCTACTATGCTGATCTGGAGACGTCCTGTCAAATGTTCCATGTGTGTACCATTGGTCAACTGGATGAACCCATGGATATACGATTTCTATGTCTAAATGGAACTGTTTTTGATCAGGTATTCAAATTTTTAAATAAATTTTTAAAAATTTCAATTTTGAGGTTATTTTTATAGGAAACCCGTGTATGTGAACGTATTGATGAAGTTGACTGTTCAAAATCCGAACAGTTCTACAGCTTAAACCTGGAATTATATGGAAATACCCAACCTCCAATATTAGAAGGTAAAAATTACAGAAAACTGTAATTTTTTAGGTTATAAATCATATATTTCGTTGTAGAATCATCAGAAACCGAACAACCCGAATTGCAAACCCCCAAAAAGTTGACCACGACAACAACAACGACCACATCTCGCCCGACAGTGTCAAAAACACCTCGTCCTAGTTATATAATCACCACTTCGAAACCCACAACAACTACATTAGCTTCAAGGTCACCTCAACCGCAAGTGCAGATACCACAACCGCCGAAACCACCTCAACCCCAACCACAACTCCATTTCGGTTCACGCCCATCAACGGATATCCGCTTCAACCCGGAGGAGTATAAAATCTCGTTAAGTAGTGGTGGTCCACCTAGCGTAAGGACCAATGTGAACGTAAACTCAAACAGTGCCAATACTAACAACGGTAAACCGATATCGTTTCAGACATTTAGTGACAATAACAAGCGAGTGATCGTGACCACGCATACCACGGTGTATAAAAGTGAGAAACAACCGTTGCATGTGGTTACAAGTGCGAATACACCAGCGCCACCTACGAAAGCTGATGATATTAAACTTGAAGATTATGATTCCGAGTTGTCGGATTCCACTGAGGATAGTTACAGTTATGGATATCATAGTCAGCAGCATCAACCGGAAACGCTCAAGTTGTCCGCGTATCAGAGTCAAACCGAAGCGCTACCAAAGACGTACCAGTTCCGTCCTGGATTTCGCCCCAGTCAGGTCCTAGACGATTCCTACAAACCCAATACGTATCGATCGGTGTTTCATCCAGCTACGAATAATCCCCTGAAGGTTAATTATAATCATAGGGGGAGTAGTGGAAGTGGGGGTAATGGGGGACCTACCACTTATAGGAATCATTACGGGTATTTTAATCAAGGCCCTTTGAAGCAGGAGAAACGGGGACCTGTTTTGCCGACTATTCCTCCGTTGACTTTTAGTTCCCCGGCGCCATTTTCTCTTAGTAGACATGTTGAGACCAAGAGGTTTATTGATCATCGTGCGCAACAACAACAACAACAACAGTTGCAGTTACAACAACAGCAACATCAACAACATCAGCAGAGGTTACAACAACAACAGCAACAACAGAGTCAACAAGCAAGTCAACAACAATTGGTCCATCACCATCAACCTCCAAGAATTGTAATATCCGCTAGTGCTTCTGTAAGTGATGCTACCGGAAGGAAATTTAATTATTCTTTGGGTACCATTGGTGATACCAGATTCTTTGGTCAAGCTCCTCAGTCTTATGATGATTATAAAGAAGATGATGTGGGTTCTGATCCCTTTTATCATGATGTACCCAAAATACGTTTAAAACGGCAGGTGGGTCAACCAGGTACCCAAAGGGATACTCTACCTAGTGTTGAGGAAGCTGGGGAGAAGGAAGCTATTGATGTTTTGAAATTTCTTTTTAACTGGTATAATAACCATGAAAAGACTCCTCAAGGGTCACAGAATTCTCCAGTTAAATCTGAAACCATTACGGAGATTAATGATGCATTGACTCCTCAACAAGATCATCAAAGTAATCCACAAAGGGATTACCTTTATGAGGATTTTGATGTGGAACCTAAACAACAATATGCTGGTGTTCCCCAGAGGAATGAATTTGAAAGACCTTATTTGAGTTTGCAGTTGTTGAAACCTCCCTTTGAGTCACCATCAATTGAGAAGCAGATAGTGACATCAAAGGATCCGGTTGTAATCACTGAGAAACCAATAACTACTAGTACTACTACTACAACTACAACAACAACCGCACCTCTTCCACATCAAAATTATTATGATTATGTTGATGATAATTATGAACCTTTGACTTATCAAGAGGAATTACGTAGACAACAAGCCAAGGAAGCTAAAATTCAACAATCACAAGCCCTAGTGGATTACCAGCACTTCAAAGAGAGTTTTGTACAGAATTACCCTCAAGATAAACAGAACAACAATATAAATATTAAAGAAAGTGATCAGAATTACTCTCCTCCAGAGTATGTGGATGATAATTATGAACCTGTGGTTTACCAGCAAGGGATTAAAGAGGGTCCTACCACTCCTGATACCTTGACAACCCTTAAAGTACCTTTTGTTGATAATGGGAATCATGTTAGAGAGAATTATTATTATGACAGGTATAATCAAGTACCTACAACAACAACAGCAACTACTACTAGTAGTTCAACAACTACAACAACATTGAAACCATTTGTTGATGTTTATCCCGACTATGACAGTTATAAAGTTGTTCAGGATAAAGAATATCCGATATATTCACGAAATCAATATGATTTTGTTGATAAAACTAGTACTACTAGTACACCTTCAACAACAACATCTACTACAACTGAAAATTATCAACAGGTTTTGGGTATTCTGGGTATAACAACTAGGAAACCCCAGGTTAATCAAGTCCATCATCGGGGTAAGACTAGGTTTTCTTTGAAGGACGTTGCGGATGTACCTGATGATTCAGTTTTTGTCAGAAAACCATTATCAACAACAACTACAACAACAACTACTGCCACTACTTCCACCTCAACAACTACAACAACAGAAACTCCTGTTACGTTCCCTAAAACCATAGAAACAACAACACAACATTTTCAGTATACCATCAATGAAAATAGAAGAACTCAAGAAATGGAAACAGATGATATAGATGATGGTGTTGTACAAACAACAGAAACCATGTTACCTACTGTTACTACCGAAAGGAGTACAGCACCACAACAAGAAATAGACTTTGCTAAACTTGGTGAAAGTACTGAAGCAGAAACAATACCAATAACAGAATATACAACTGAAAATGTTGAAAAGTTGGAAGATATTACTAAAAATACTGTTGGGGTTGCCAGTATTACAACGGCAACTGTCCCAACAACACTTATAGAAAATTTAGAAGTTGCAGCTATTACAGGTACACCTTCAACATTGATTCCTGAAAGTTCTAGTTCTAGTACTTCCGAAATTCCTGAAATGGAAACTGATGTTACTACAGAATCAATTTCTACAACACCTGGTATTACTACTGTTGTCACAACAACTTCTACTACTACCCCAACAACAACAACATTAACTAGTACTACTACAACACCTTCTCCAACGCCATATACTTACCCATCAAGAAATTCTTCAAAATTCAACTCTAGAAGAAGATCCAAAAGTCGTTATAGACCAATATCTTCCACAGCAACAACAACAACTACAACAACAGACCTACCTTCAACCAGTACTAGTACTAGTAGTAGTGCAACATCAATAATAGAGGTTATACCTCTTAACACTACAGATTTTCCATCTTCCCCTTCATATTCCACATCAACCATACCAACAACCCAACGCAAACCAACCCTAAATGAAGAAATCATCGGCGCGATCAAACACAAAATGGCCTCCCATGATTCCCACGATCCCCACAAGATCGAGTTCAACATAAACGCATACACTGCCAATCTTGCCTACAGAATAAAAACAACCCCTCTCACCCTCCTCCCATCAGACGACAACCCAAAAAGAAAAAGACCATGAATTACCAACAGATCCACCAATGGCTCGCAGTGCCCAACCCACCTTAAGCAATGAACACCTCCGACGCACCAATCGCTTACCAACAACACCAATATCCCAATCCACCGCAATAAACGTCCGTAAACAAGTGAAAAACCGAAAGTATACCTTCAACTGCGTCGATAAAGAAGTAAACCACTTCTATTCAGACCCCCGAGATTGTCGCCTCTTCCATTACTGTACTCGCGGCTTCACACGGACGCAATACTTAGATATGAAGTTCGTCTGCGATCTGGGGACGTTCTTCGACGATGTGAGATTGGTCTGCACCGAGGCGAAACCGGCGCGATGTGCGTGACCCTTAGTGCAATTCAAGATAACCTAAATTAAAGACTAGCAACGAATTTACACATATACACCTTACACACACCTATGTATCTACTGTTAATGTTAACTCTGTATATTAATTATTACGTTTTTAAACTGCGTTTTAAACTGTAAACTATTTTACGATAATTTGTACATTTACCATTTTATGTTTAATAATTATGATATTTTTTTTGTATTTTGTGTTGTTAATCGATGAATATATGAAGTGAACAAAAATAATTGAATTTTTAAACATGTTGTAAGTATTTTTCAAGTAGATTGTTTATTATTTACTGTTTTATTAGAAATTTTGTTTGAATTTCTTTAGTTTTGATACACGTGCTGCCATCTGGTGGCGTAGACTAGAAGCAATCCTATCTATAAACCACGCCGCGTTAACCTGTGTAACCGTCGTTTCACCGCGCGCAAAATATCGTCCGTTTATTCGTGTTTAATTGTGTTTCAAGTCATTAATAAACATTAAAATAACTGAAAACTGTTCTATAGTGACATTATACCTTTGTGGGAAGTGATTTCACCTGGTGGTTTAGTGTATTTCGCTTTTTATAACATTAAAACATTCACGTGTAACATGCGCAGGTTATAGTCAATACAACAATAAAAACAACAAGATTTACAGACTTGGTAAGTACTTTATTAGATTATCTGCATGTTTACCGATTAAATGCACAATACGCCACAGAGCAAATAACCTAGGTACCAAGAGTAGTACTGTTCGCAAGTTTTATAACAAGCTGCGAGGCAAATAGTCGGACAATCTAGAAATAAATATTTAAGTCAATACTTAAGTCAATAGTTAAAAGCAGAACTATTTAGATTAACTCACCGGACCGGGTGGCCAGTGTTGTTGTTAGACACAATGAAATTGTGACTAACAAAAGCACAAGATAAGTTAGATTCATCGTTGTAGTTGTTGTGAATTTTACAGAAAACTTTAACTGTTAAGTCACATGAATAAGTCAAGTATATATAGTGATATTTTTGCGAAAAAGTCACGAATAATGATTGATCTTGGGCAGAGGAACGTGGTAATCTATAAAGTATTAAATTTGACTCTGATTAGAATTTTTTGACGATTAAAGTTGCAAATTTAAAGAAAATGTGACTTTTTTGTAAATATAAGATAAAATTTCGGTATATAAACCTTGTAGGTAGCTAAGAATTTAGTTTAAAAGATTATTCAATCCTTCAAGAGTTAACAAAATGATGAAATCATTAATTTACACCGCTATTCTTCTGGTGACAGTTTTCATCGCTGAAAGTAAGTGAAAAGTTAAATTTTAAGTTTAAATCACAAGAAACTTATAAATTTCAGGCTATTGTCATCGTGTCTGTGATGCGGACTGTGTCGGTGGATGTGTAGCACTTCAAGAAGTATTCACTTTCTTGAACTTGGCATATTTTAAAGAATTTTGTGCTGCTTTATGTATAGATCTATGAGTGTCAGAATAAACGCACAATGAATACCTAACAAGTCAATTTGGTTGCCTATAGTTTCACTCAATCACAACCCCGTGACCTAACCAGTAAATTTGGTTGCCTATAGTTATACTCAATCACAACTCATTCTCTACACTTGTTTACTTTTATTTCTTATCAAATACATTTAAAAAATACAAAATACACAATATATACACAAAACAATTGTTACAAAAGAGAAGATATACGAATACTGGTATGTAACAGGTAATTTTCAAATGCATTCAAATATTTTTACGCTAAAAACTAAAAAATAGAAGAACAAAAAAGGTAATTTAAATAAAATATTATCAATATATAGGTAATAACAGTACCGCATGTGTGTGTGAGTGTGTTAAAAATTCCGGTGGTGTGTAAAGTGCAAATTTTAGGAATACATAAGTCAGTGCAAATGGCAAACAGATAATTATATTACATACAAGGCACTGATTGATTGATATTCGGTGGTCGTGATGATGATGGTTCACATAATTCACATCCATTACAGACATAACCTAACTTGAGTGTTAGATAATTTTGGCAATAAAAAAAACAGACAACAGACAACATTCACCAGCTCTCGGTTGCTTCAGTTCGATAGTATAATATTATAATAATAAAAAAATTGATTGTGACCTATTGCTCTCCATAGCTGGGCGGCGCGTGGTTTACACCGATGTTGTTTTCTTGAAGTCGGTCTCGATGTCATATTCTGGTTCGGGGCCTACGTTTGTGTCATAGTAAGCATAGTCGTATGAAGCGTTCTTTTCGTTGGTACCGGCAGGTGGCGCTGGTTTTGATTGTTGTTGTGGTTGTGGTTGTTGCGCTTTTGGTTGCTGCTGCTGTTGTTGTTGTACAGGCCTCTGCTGCTGCTGTTGTTGTTGTTGTTGTTGGGGTCGTGGAGTAGCAACCTGTTTAGTTGTCTTGGGGTAATTCTCAGTCACTCTTGTGCTACCACCATTGTTGTTGTTGTTGTTGTTGTTGTTATTATTATAGGTGTTAGCGTTAGTCGAGAAGGGTCTTGGTGATTCACTGTAGAAAGGTTTCTGGGTGCTGGTTATCGTTGTTTTCTTTGCTGCGTTCTTTGCTAATTCATTCCGGCTGCTAGCGATGTTTTGACTATGAGCTGTCTTTAAAATTCATCCCCAGGGTTGGATCCATCGTCGTAGTGGTCGTACTTGGCGTTGTAGGAACCATCATCGTATTGGGTCTCATCGAAACGGTTAGCTCTTGCGATTGGAGTTGTAGAAGATACTTTTGGTACAGTTGGGGTGTATTGAGTGAAAGGGGTGGTTTTAGGTGTTGAAGTTTCCACTGGTTTGTTGTTGTTGTTGTTCTGTTCGAAGTTTTGGTTTAGGCTCTGTGAGAATTGGTTAGCGAAAGGTCTGCTGAAGTGGTTTGTAGGGTTGAATGCCTGAGGGGTTGAAGGTGGTTGCGTAAACTGCGTATTTTGTTGTTGGTTGTTGTTATTGTTGTTGTTATTACTCTGGGTGGTAAATTGTTGTTGTTGTGGTTTTACTTTTGGTTGTTGCGGTTGTTGTTGGAATTGGTTGTTGAATTGTTGCGCATTGTTAAAAGGCGTTGTTTGCTTGTTGTAGAATTGAGTCTTAGGGGCAAACGTTGTAGGCAAGAACTGTTCCTTCTTCTGTTGTTTAGTATTAGGTGTGAAGGTTGTTGGGTAGATATCCTTTGTCACTTGTTGTTGTTTGACCTTAATCTTCGGGACATCGTAATGTGTATCTACTCCGCCATTGTTTTGAGCAATTGTTGTTGATGATGGTTGTTGGTTCTTGAAAGGTGCTGGTTTTGCTTGGGTTGTTTGGAACTGTTGTTTGTTGAATGCGGGTGGATAATTTTCTGTTTGAGATTGAGTTGTTTTTGGACTGAAGGTTGTGGGGTTGTATTGACCGTTATTGTAGGTTGTTTGTTTATGTTGTGGTTGACGGAAAGGTGCTGGGGTGCTTACAGCAGCCAATGGAGTTGTTTGTTGTCTGAAGTTATCAGCGTCGTTGTAGTTGCGGTTGACTGGACGTCTTTGAGAGTTGCGTTGACGGAAGTTGTTGATAGCGGTTGAGTATTGGTCGGGGTTAAGATTTGCAGTGGAGGCTGATGCTGGAGGTTGGGATGCAGGGCGGGAGGTAGTAGGGAAACTACCTGCGAAGTTGTTGACGAAACCAGTTGGGCGGTTGTTGCGTGGAGTTTGTGTTTCAAGATTTGCAGTTGTTTGCGTGTTGGTTTGCTGTTGTTGGATTGTTGTAGACTGTTGTGGTCTAAACTGTTGTTGTTGCTGTTGTTGAATTGGTCTTTGTTGGGGTTGTTGGGTTGCTGAGGTCTTTGCTGTTGTTGGGGCTGTTGCTGAGGCCTTGATTGTTGTTGTTGAGATTGTTGCTGTTGGGGCCTTGGTTGTTGTTGTTGTGGTTGTTGCTGTTGAGGCCTTTGCTGTTGTTGTTGTTGTGGTTGTTGAGGTCTTGGTTGTTGAGGCCTCTGTTGTTGCTGTTGCTGCTGTTGAGGTCTCTGTTGTTGCTGCTGTTGTTGCTGTTGCTGCTGTGGCCTCTGTTGTTGCCTTACCTGCTGCTGCTGTTGTTGCTGCGGTTGTTGAGCAGGTTGCTGTTGATTCTGTTGTTCAACTGGCCTCCTCTGTTGTTTCCTCACCAACTTCCTCTTCTGGAAGTTATCCCTATTCTGATTGGCATTAACATTCTCATCTTCATCATCATCATCAACCTCTTTGCCACCATTGCGATTGTTAAAGAAGTTGGAGCTGCTAGAAGTCTTAAAGATGTCTCTTTCGCTATTATTAGTATTCTGATTGTTTGGTCTGCGCTGGGATGGGGCTGCGTTATTGAACTCTCTCTGCTGGTTCACCCTAGCTGCCTGGTGCTCTCTATTCAAACGAGCATCACCAGTTTCAGCGCGTTGCAGCGCAAACGTCTCTTCTTCTTCACCATATTTCACCGCCTTGGACTCGAACCCTATACAAAAACCACAAAAATCTCATAAAATCCAATCCACATTATAAAAAAACAAAAATGCTTGCTTAGCATCTGTTAGCACACAAGCAAACCACAACCATAATCATTTACGCCAGCATAGTGTAGATGTCGTTACTTGTCCTTTCTTAAAAGTGAAAGTGTGTGTTAAAAGCTCACTCAGCGGCAGCAGCTCCGTCGCAACAAAGGCGGTTTTTGAAGCTGTGTGTTAGGCCACACTAGACACGTATACATACTGTGCGCATCGTTTGTACCTGAACCGAGACGGTAAAGGTCGAAGTTGTCGCTGGCGTAGTACAACGTCGTGGCATCACAATCGACATCATCCCACTCGGCGCAGATTTGATGATCTTGATCGAAAGCTGTTCCATTCGGGCACAGAAACCGGAAATCTTGCACCTATACACACATAACCTCAATTTTCATCTTCTAAACCTTATAAACACAAAACTTACACCAACTCCGGCGACTTTCACGCAAATATGGAACATTTGACATTGCGTCTGCGAATCCGCATAGTAACCTCCAAGAATCTTATCCCGGCACGTGAAATCCGTATCGGGCATCGACTCCAGACTGTACGTCGGATACGGCCGATTGTTCAAGAACCCTGCGGCCCCCCATCCCGCTACTAAACCTGCAATCGCGAAAAGTGAAAACATTTGAATGCATAATTGATTTTCTATTAGTGGTATTGCGTTGGGATTTAAATAGAATAGTGTGAACTGCGTATTATTACATCTGCAATTATATAACCTTTTGGGAGGAGATGATGAGATGATGTGCGTAGATGATGTGCGCGCCAGCGAAAGTGAAACAAACAAAAGTTGCATGTGAGAACAAGCCGTGTGTAATTTCTACGTTGAACAAACAATACACTAAATGAATTTAACCTCAAAACAGTGGAAATTTCAATTTTTGACTTTTACTTTAATTTTACATTAACTTCAACAACCGGAAATGTCTATAACCTATAATAAAACGCACGATTTGTTATTTGATTTGACTGGAGTTGTGTTGTGACAGTTGCAGACAGTAATTATATTCCTCATCGCATCAATTGTATTACGGTAACTCGAAGCGATCATTACGCAATTGAAATCTCTATGGATTTCAAATCGTGTAAGAGCTTGACTTTTATATAATCGCTACAATTTATTTATTAACACGACTCATTAATTTATCGCTTCGGTATAATTCGTACGAGTATGAATGAATGCAAATATTGCGCAAATTTTATATTTCTATATGCTTGAGACTTTTTTTTATTTTGGTAATTTTCGAATGGTGCAATATCCAACGTCTAGCGAGTGGATTTTTGTGCAAACAAATTAGTTTTACTTAACCTAAGCGTGGGAAATAATTTCAGCTTCCAGTTAACGAAGAAGTTAAAGAGTTGGTGAGCATCAAGCATGCATTCGCGTGTAATTTATCATTTGTTTACTATGCGCTGTGTAATTATGTCAAGGATGAACATTTTCGTCGTGTTCACATATTATTATTTGTATATTCTGAAGGAAAATATTTTAGAGACTTTAAATTTTACATATATAGTAAAGTAATATTAAATACTGGACTTTATTCACGTGAAAATATTTTTATTTTATTTTTGTTTTGGTTTTGTATTGCATAATGAAACTATCAGTTAAAGATGTTAGACAAGTACTAGTGCCATCCGTTACGCTCGCGATGTACGCGCAATTACATCATAATCACTTTTACTATTGCTGTGTATCACCGGAGACTTCAAGACGCGAATCAGCGAGTATGTAATAATACTTTTACTCTCATTTTTGACATGAATTGTAGAGAATTTTGTTTTGAAGTGTACAATAGTTCAGTTTTTAGATTTTTCTTAAAAATTTTTGAAAATTTTTGTTAAATTTGGAAAAAAATTGAAAATTTTTGGAAAAATTTTTGAAAAAAAATGTTTTATATGAGTTTTAGACATGAATTTTATAAAATTTTGTATTTAACCGTACATTACTGTTTTTTAATCATAATTTTAGTTATTTTTGAAAAAGTTTGATTTTTTGCAAAAATTTTGATAAAATTTGATAAATTTTGGAAAAAAAAATTGAAAAATATTCTCGACATGAATTTACTAAGACAAATTATAAAAAAAAAATATTTTAACCTTTTTTCTATAAAAATTAAAATTTTCCCATCGTATTTTCTAAATTTTTGCAATTTCTCAACGTGTGAATGTGAAGATGTTGCATCGAAGTTACGCAACATCAACATCGGTAGCGTCGTTAATCTACATACCAATCGTCTCAGTCTTACATCATTTGCGCTAGTTTTAACTCCGCGTATAGATAATTAATACTAATAGGTACATTACCAGACTTTGCGTTTTCAAAAAAATTAATTTTTTCAACTTTAAAATTCGTGTGATGTTTATAATCCACTTGTAGTCCACTTGATAGTACTCACCTAAAACAAGTAATACACTAACACCCCTCATCGTTTGCAAGTCACGGCGAGACTGAAGAAGACGAATTTCTGCGAACGCATCTCGATGCGCACAGGGGCTTATCCGATGCGCGATGCGCTCAAGTGAAAGGCTTGTCCTCTCTTCTCAATCGTGTCTCTCTTGTCTTCGTCTTGCAGGAGGCTAGATGGTGGCAATAGATCCTCTTTGATTCTCTAGGAGTCTAGGCCGTAGACTCCCACTATACTCACTTCGCTTGGTGGAGGTGAGGTCGTTACGTGCGAATGTGTTAATATCCGTGGAAACCGAAACGGCAACGACGGCTTCACACACAACTTTTGCTTTCGGTTGCATCTAGCAAGACAGATTTGAAGATGCCATCCATACAACATTCAGGATGTTGTTTTGTTACTTATGTCTACTTCTTGTTCTCAATCAAGATTTGAGATTTTCTTCTGCTGTCAGCAGCTTAGCTATTCGTATAAAGAAAGTGCTTTCATGTGATTTATGCGTTTTTCATTAGTAATTAATTTATTACAACATTTAAATAAACGAAAATAAATGAAACTGTAGAAAGTTTATTTTTAATCAATTTTTATTAATTGTGACGTCATGAGACAGGAATGTGTTTAGTTATGATTATAAAGACGTTATTCTGTAAAAGGTAGTCGTAGTTGGTGATTATCGCATGATTTTTGCGTTTCTGCGGCGGTATGAGAACGCAAGACGATACCTGTGAGCAATGCGCGTTGTGCAATCTGGAATTATGCGCGTGTTTTGAAACGAGGCAGGGCAGCAATGGCAATAAATTCATAATTAATATTCACGCGCGTCAAAAATCATCTTCCTATCATGCAGACTAATATGGTAGTGGTATTAGATGCGGTAATAAAGGTCTGCTGTTTGGAAACTTGACGAAAAGAGAGAAAATGGGCATAAAATACAAATATTGCTATTTTAGGTTGAAAAAAAGTTTATTTTAGCAAAAAAAGGAAAAAATTGTGATTTTTGGGGAAAAAATTAAATTTTTTTGCTAATTTTAGGAATTTTCAGCAAAATTTGGGTAATTTTTGATAAAAATTGAGGTTTTAGGTGAAAATATTCATTTTTTTGCAAATTTTAGGAATTTTTAGCAAAATTTTGGTAATTTTTGATGAAAATTGAGGTTTTAGGCGAAAAAATTGATTTTTTTTTTTTGTAAATTTTTGGTATTTTTAGCAAAATTTCGGTAATTTTAGAAAAAAAAATTTTTTTTTTGGGGAAAAATTGTCGAAATTTTACAAAATTTCACTAAATCTTTAAGCATTTTGTAAAATTTATGAAATGAAAAAAAAATTGAAAGTTTTGCATAATTTTCGAAAAACTTTAGAAAAAACTTCAAAAAACTTAATCCCTACTAATATTATAAATGCGAAAATCCTGATGTTTGTTACACTTTCACGCAAAAACTACTTAACCGATCATCATGAAAATTTGTACACATATTCTTAGTGGTTCCCGAATGGTTATAGGCTACTTTTTAATTAATAAAAAAAATTAATTTTTAAATAAAATAAAGAAATAGTTTAGCCAATAATACCTCTGCATCTGGCTATTTGACTACTTTAACGCCATCTAGCATTCCAGCAATGAAGCTCAAACCTAAGTACTATAGTACCATCACACTGTATTATCACACTGTATTACCGACAGCTACGTCAACATCAGATCCAATTGACTACACTATGGAGACTGTACACTATACTTCCATAGACTATACTTTCAGCCATTTTAAACTTCCCGCCATTCTACTTCATTGTTACTTCTTCTGTGACTACAGACGCGTACGGAAGCAACTTCATTATTTTAGATATTCGCGAGCGAAGATTAAAGCTAGATTTTTATAAATTTTTATTAATTTTTCCAATTTTAAACATTTTTTCGCAACAATATGCAATATAAAATTCCGAAACCTCAAAAACTTTGATCCCATTTAATCTCCACAATATGTGAATGCATTATTAATTGAATCTCAAACACTGTTCCCAAACAATCGATGCTCTTTTGTATCGCAAACAATGGCATTGCAAACCTAACAAACATTTCGGTAACTCCAACTGAATGCAGTTGCCAAATTAATTAACTTGTTAAAAAATAACCACCGCGAATGGCACCAGAAACACGCCGCTTGTAAGCAAATTAATTCCCATCGAAACATCGTGTAGGCGTTCATCTACCTACCATGAATAGAAAATTTAATTATTAATAACTAACTAACGCAGTGAAGGACAATATACCAGCAGGATTGTTAAAAGAGATAATTTGATGAATGCGTTGCATGTTTTATGTCTCATGTTCGCAGCATCAGAGGACAAGAAGCAACAATAACAGATTTAGAAAGATGATATGATGATATTCAATAACCTTTTCATTCAATTCACAATTTTGTTCTTGAAATATTTTCAATTTTATTATTGATTTCAACATAATGAAAAAACATTTTCACATGTTTCTAAATGTTTTATTGTTGTTATTTTTATACTACTGTTAGAGTGTTGTACAATATATTATAATCATAAAATAATCTTTTAGTCATAAATAAAACGAACAATAAAAACATCTACAAGTTGATTTTTGAGGAGATTTGGATTTTAGAGTGTGGGAGTTGTCGATTAGATATTTTCACACTTTTACCGCGCTGCTTTTGGAAGAGATTGTGTGAATTTATCAAAATGTGCGAAGTTGTAACATGTGTGCGCATAAATTAATGTTATATTAAAATACTGTAAATTTAAGTTAATAATTTTAGGTTTTTACGTGAGTTTTCTGAAAAATTTGAATTTTTTGCCCATAATTTTACTTGTTTTTAACAAATTACGGAAGAGTTAAATATTTTTAACTACTCTATCTCATAGTACTCATTAAAATCTACTAATTGCGATGAATATGGATACTGTATCTTTTTTAGTATCGGAGTTATTGCTAATTTTACGTAATTTTTTGCAAATTTTCTCAAAATTTTACTGTTTTTTCACGAATTACGGGAGATTTAAATAATTTTCTAATTGTTTGACAACTCAATCTTATAGTACTTATAAAGATCTACTAATAGCAACAAAAATGGATACTCTATCTTTTTTAGTATCGGAGTTATTGCTGATTTTACCTAATTTTATCTAAATTTCCCCAAAATTTCACCATTTTTTCACGAATTACGGGATTTTTAAATAATTTTCTAATTGTTTAACACCTCAATCTTATAGCCTTAATAAATATCTACTAATTACAACAAAAATGGCTGCTCTATCTTTTTTAGTATCGGAGTTTTTGCTGATTTTATAAAAAATTTATGAAAATTTTAATTTTTACGTTTAATTTTCTTTTAATTTCAGATTTCCACATCTAGATGCCGCTGGTTGACACAATGACATCACCAGGACTTCACTACCGAAAGGTAAAAGTTTTTATTAACAAATTTCCCTAATGAACTTTACGAACTTGATACGCGACCGCGGTTAAGAGGTAAAGGCGTAAAATTGAAATTACAATGTGCGCGCAGTGAAAGTTGCGTCGTTTTAAAAACGTTTTAAACGATTTTTAAATTCGATTCCATAGAACACAGCAGAGAGTCATACATAGCCCAACATCACATCCTCCTTCTACTTCTTCTTCTTCGTGGTACGTTCTCGCGTTCGAATTCCTTCGAGCTTGTGTTCGGTAAGGTCATGCCAATACAATCGTGCACAATTTCTAGGTTGAACTCGACGTCCAACTAAACTTCTCTATGTATTCGAGAGTTGTGTTCAGCTGAAGATGCGCTCGGTGCGGGTTTTTGATTCCCGTGTGAATGATGCTAAAAATCGGAGGAGAGTTTCTCGAAACATTTTATGATTGTTCGAACGCCTACGGGTTTTATCACAATCATACATTCATTTAAGCATATTAGAAATAGAGTGGATAAAGAATAGGATTTTTGGATGTTGACTTAAGTTAAGTCACAATTGTCAAATTGACTTAAGTCTATTTTATGGATAATTTCAAATTAATTGGTTCAAAAATAGAATTGTACTTATTATTTTTAATGTGACTTAAGTTAAGTCATAGTTGACAAAGTGACTTAAGTAAAATCTATGGAAAATTTAAAATAAATTGGTACAAGTATAGTATTTTTCTATTTAAAATTTTTAATGTGGCTTAAGTTAAGTCAAACTTGTCAAATTGACTTAAGTATATTTTATGGATAATTTCAATTTAATTGGTTCAAATATTGAATTTTACTTATTATTTTTAATGTGACTTAAGTTAAGTCAGAGTTGACAAAGTGACTTAAGTAAAAACTATAGAAATTTCGAATAAATTGGTTCAAATATAGTATTTTTCTATTTAAAATTTTTAATGTGACTTAAGTTAAGTCAAAGTTGTTAAAGTGACTTAAGTATATAATGGACATGATTGCGAATGGCCTTTGACACGGCGTGCAAAATATCTCACAGTTTCCGAAACGGATTTTACGCGATTTTCAACACAGTGGTTGTGCGTCGACTTGACTTAACTACCAACTGCTGAGTTTGCACGCTAATTGGCGTTTGTTGGCGGCTATTATGTTCATTAAATTCATTAACGCATTACCGGCGTGCGCAGGTGGCATGTCTTTGAATTCATCTCAAGTTTATTTATTTTAATTTTAAATTGCCATATCGACTCTTCGACTGTTTGACTTTTTCTTTCTCAATTAACTAGATCAATAAATAGCACAATGTCAACTTTAAAATGAATATTTGTTTAAATTTAATATTGCACAATCATCATTCTCGTATTAGTCAGGTGCGAAACGCTCCATTTATCATCGTATGGATTGCAAAATCCGGTATCGTGGTCTCGATTAAAATTAATTATTGTTGGAGCGTTTCAAGTTCATCTCGCGCATCACGATCGGTTAAATACCAAACAAGTGGACCATTAAAAAATATAAGTATGGATATATGAAGGTATATGAAGAAGAATAAACAAAAACTGCTTTTCATATTCGTTATTGTTGCATAATATATGAGCGGCGCACGTAAATTCGGTTTTAATTGCGACGATCTGATACGCTTAAGGATCCACGCAAGGTCGTTGATGGTTTTTTTTGTTATGTTTTTATTTGCATTTTTAAGTTCAGCATCGAAGTCAAAATCAATGGGAACGAATTAGCATTTTATTTGTTCATCCGCTTGGGTTTTGAGATGATCATGAATAAGAATACGTAGTATTTTTAAATGTGACTTAAGTTAAGTCAGAATTGCCAAAGTGACTTAAGTGTATAATATTGATAATTTTTAATAGTTTAGATAAAGTATATAATATTTATTTTATTTTTAATGTGACTTAAGTTAAGTCAAAATTGTCAAAGTGACTTAAGTATTAAAATCGGATAATTTCGACTAAATTCGATATTACAACAAAAATGGCTGTCCTATCTTATTTAGTATCGGAGTTATTGTTGATTTTACATAATTTTTTAAGAAAAATTATGAAAAAAAAAATCGATCGCTTGACATTTCTCTTTATTATATTTTTAAATTCTTCAAATTCCATGATGTGAAACATAAAATATTACACAGCTTCACAATAAATTACTTCCAACATCTTTTTTTAATAATAACCACGCGCTAATGAATAAATTATCAATCTAGCGATGAAATTATTATTAATTAATTAATATTTGATTCTCCGATGATGCAACACACCAAATTCTTTTCAAACTTTTTTTTATTCATTTTAATTCAAATTAATAACACAATTATAATTAAATATCGACGCATCAGCATGAAAGTTGTTTACGTTTCAATTTTATAAATAGATACGAGAACCACACGGCGATGGAATAACAAAAAAGTATAATTCCCATCATTTGAAACACACACGCCGATTGAAATTAAAAACCAAACGCGCAAAACGAAATTCTTTAGGTACGGTAAATAAAAACCTAAGTATTATATTTTAATGCCAGAGTATTAAATGATTGTAAATGTTAAATGTATGTGTAATATCAAAGCGCTGGTGAAGCGGTTACCGGCTAGAGTTTTCGATCATTAATGAAATTACTTTATCTACTGTTAGGCATAATTAAAATGTGTATGTGTATAATTAGATAAGCGATTGCGAGTTGGAGAAATATTAAGTCACGACTTTCTTCGTTTGAATCAAAAATATTACTTTTATAAATGATTAAATATCATTTTAGGTTAATTATTGAGTTTTGGTATTTTTCGGTGTAGTGCGTTTGTTTTTTCTGTGTAAAAGGAAAATGATAAAAGGTAGGATTTTCATTTTTGGGTGGCTGATTTATAATTAAATTTTTAGTTAAATGATGTTTGGATAATTTTATTATGTTAATTATTTACTGAGTTATAAAGGTGCAGGGTTGACGAAATTTTCATGAAAATTTGCCGAAAATTTCTCTATTTTTCTCGAATTGCGGAAGATTTAGATAATTTTCTAAATTTTTAACGACGCAGACTTATAGTCCTAGTAAAGATCTACTAATTACAATAAAAAGGGCTGCCTTAGCTTTTTTAGTTTTGGAGTTATAGTTGATTTTACAAAATTTTCATGAAAAATTTCCGAAAATTTCACTATTTTTTCTCGAATTACGGAAGAATTAGATAATTTTCTAAAATTTTAACGGCTCAGTCTTATAGTCCTAATAAAGATTTACTAATTACAACAAAAATGGCGGCTCTATCTTTTTTATTACCGGAGTTATACGTAATTTTCTGCGTTACTAAAATTATTACCGCAAAAACAGCTGCGTCTAAAATGAAAAATTACAATAAAATTTATTTATGCGTTAATATTACCATCAGCAACGCTCTTGCAATAAACACAAAAACATAAAACACTACGAAATCTGCAAGAAAAAAATAAAGGAGTGTTTGTTCTCCGTAATAACCGACGAAACAAATAAAAATGATCATAAATTACGAACAAAATAAGAAATGTAAATTTTTTTCATCTACACTCTTGCGCATATTATTAGCAAAGAAAAACGAAGACGTCCTTGATGCGCCACACTTGTCAGTATAGTGTAATACCAAACATTCGATTGCTTCAAAAGCATTTAATGAAACGCACCCAAGACCCAAATATTGTCGACCGTTCCAGATTCGCTCATCTAAAACTTTCGTCGATATCGGCGCATAATTTACATAAGACAAGGTGTAAATCTTACAATTCGGGCAAAAACTGACCCAGTGTGTCAACATTCATTATATAACCTCATAACCAACTCGGATAGTTTATTTACATCTACGTTGAAACGTTTATGGCATTTATAAATTATTGTAACAAGTTGCCACACATCTGCGCTCACAATTAGCACACAAATAAACCAGTTTGCGCAGAAGATAGAAGACGCTTACTTTTTTAATTGTAATCAACTGCTAATTAATAAATCAGGATTGACCGAGACGTGACTAGCAAGCTAACAAGAGGAAAAAGAGAGGAATTTTAATTATACTTAAGTTGAGTAGTACAGAAAAGTTGTTTTAAGTTGATTCGAGGTTGTTTGCCGATAGATGGCGTTAGTTTCCGATGCTAAAACCAATAAAGTATCCAAAAATTCAAGTAATAGAGGAATTTGATACATTACTTAAGTCAATTTGTTGAAATAATGAATTTTAAGTAGATTTGATGTTTCTGGCGATAGATGGCGCTACTTTTTGTTGCTGAAACCAGCAGATAATTACCATGGCAATACAGTGTTTATGGCGGTCAAGAAAATTAAGTAAAATGGAGGAATTTGTTGTATTACTTAAGTCAATTCATGGAAAAATGTGTTTTTAAGTAGATTTGAAGTTTGCCGATAGATGGCGTTAGTTTCTGTTGCGGTAACTTACAGAAGCGTAATTGCAGCAATAAAGTATCCGTAGCGGGCAAAAAACCAAGCCGAGATCGAAAAATGAGAGCGAGCGTGTGTGTGGTAATGGACGCGTCCGTCGCCCGTAATTCCGCAACATCGCCAGCATCGCCGCGCGGGCAATTAGAGATCGTTTGTTTAGACATATTTATACAACGACGCGTGCATGCATGTTCATTCGCCAAAGAAGAAGCAACTGCGCTGAGAATGGCGTGTTCTTTTCAGGTTGTTGGCGATGCGCTTGGACGCGGAGCGCGCGCGTTTACTTCTTTCGTGTGCTGTGTGCGGTGTGTTGTGCACATATTTTTGACCTACATCCGATTTGTATTAACATTTTGTCATTGCCTCTAGGTACTGGCTTGCACAAAGCGCTATTAAATGTGGTCGTCATAAAATTCGACCCGGTGATTCGCGTGTTTTCGCAGCACTTACAAAGGTGCCATTTGAATTTGAAATTTCATTATGACTTGCAACATAGGAGTCGCTATAATTCAGCGATTTAATGTCGCAGCGCTATGGATGGTATGTCTTTTAAAAGGGAATTTATTAGTGAT